AGAACCACAGGTCATGTCAGTTGAGCGATGCCAGGTGCTCCGGGGCCTGCTCACTGTGTTGATTTCCCCAGAAGTCAGTGCGGTGGGGTCATGCTGTGAGCCTGGATCCATGAGCCACTCGGCAGCACTGGACGGGGAGCATGCTACAGAACTGTGGCATCAAATCCTCGCTGCTACATGGGGGGGATCTGATCCTCATTTACAGAGGAGGCTTCGGAGGTCCTGAGCGGCGAGGTGGAGGACCCACGGTTACCCAGCTAGTAACTGGCCAACCGCACTTGAAACTCAGAGCTGTCTCACTCCCTCAGGCCATCTCATGCCCAACCCACCCACCACATTTTTGCAGCAAGACAGGATGAACGTGAGTGGGACGCTCAGCAGTGTGGGTCTCTGGATGGCAGGGGCTGTGCCTGACCCATGTCTGTGGCCCCTGTAGCTGCGAATCCGGGGCCCCACATACAGCAGGTGCTTGGTCAGGCCCGGGGTGGGCTCCTAAGGGGTGGGGCAGGGCTAGCTGGTCGTCTACCCCAAAACCTGCTCTCCTCTCCTTCCTGATTAACAGAACTCCTATTTTTAGCAGAGGACTCCTTTTTTTGATTCTTCCTCCACCCCGCTACAACACAGACATGATGGCTAAAGCTGTACCAGCCAGCCCGGCCCACGAGGACAAGGGCTGCTCCCTAGGGAGGGCGACACGGGCTGCTACAAGGAGCCTAGCAACCTCATGACTTCGGGAAGCCCCCATGCCACCAGGAATGCCTACCTCTGGACTTCCATTTGGATGAGAAATAAAGCTCAGTCTTGCATAAGCCACCACAATTTGGGGTTTCCATGGCATAGTCTATCAAACCTGATAGAGCAAGGAAGGCTGGTGAAAAAGGTAAGTCTCGATGTAAGTTTTAGAAGTGTAGGATTCCTCTTGACAAACAGAATGAGGCAACAGATGGCTCAGAAGCAGAGCAAGCAAAACCCCATGAGAGGGGACAGCTTGGGATGACAAGTGAGCTGGAGTCAGGAGGTCCTGAGTGGAAGTGGTATCATAAAAACAGCATTTCTGCAAGACGAACGTAGCAGCCTTTCCCAGGCCAGCAGAACGAGGAGCGCCTGGAGGACAGAGAGCAGTGCAGCCAAATGTTTCCTGAATGCCCACTGTTTGCCAGGCACTGCACTCCCAGCGAAGGCTACACAGACAGGATGGCTGAACTGGGTCTGAAAGGTCGGCAGGAGAGCCCCGGGCGCTCCTGTGTCCCCTTAGGGCAGTGAACTCCCCCGCCTGCCTCTGCAGCTCCATACAAATTCAGATTCCCAGGTCCCACAGGCGGGGGCGGGACCCAGGATTCTGAACTTTTAATAAGCATACCCACATGATTCTGATGCAGTCAGACCATGGACCTATTTATACAGGCTGGCAGCTCCTAACCTGATGCATGGAACACAGTAGGTTTGGATGCTTATTAAATACGTGAAGAAATAATAGACTTCCATACTGTTAGGAGACAAACCAGTAGATTTCAAAAGATTTTCAATAATAATGGAAACAAGATTTTTCTGGTGAAGTGAATGGTTTTTTAGCTAATATTTAATTAGCCAAAATATAATCTGAGGTCACTAATAATGTTCTGTGATCTACTTCTGCAACCCGTTCAGCTAAAAGGTATTTCAGTTTCACTTGAAAATGGCCTTAGAAGGGACCTCTGGGTGTGAGCACAGTTCCCACGCCGGCTCACTGGAGCTCTGCTCTGCAGCTTACAGACGTGGTAGAGCCCAAGGACCCACACTGAGGGAGGAGGCTGTCTCCAGACAGGTGGCTGGGCAAGGAGCTGCCTTCCTCGCCCCAAGCTGTCCTCACACACTTCAAGGCAACTCTTCTCCTGGGAGTCAACTGTCCTTATTACCTGACCTTACAAGACAGAAGTGCTCTTTAAAGAAGAAACATGGTATATGATGATTTCACTCACATGTGGAATTTAAGAAACAAAACAGATGAACATAGGAGAAGGGAAAGAACGGTAAAATAAGATAAAAATAGAAGGGGAGGCAAATCATAGGAGACTCAACTATAGAGAACAAACAGGGTTGCTGGAGGGGAGGTGGGTGGGGCATGGGGTAATTGGGGAATGAGCAACACTGGGTGTTATATGTAATGAATCCCTAAATTCTACTCCTGAAACCAATACTACACTATATGTTAACTAACTTGAATTTAAATAAAATATCAGAAGAAAAACAAAGAAGAAACAGGGTAGAAAGGGAAAAACACTGACCTAGGTCTAGTCCTAGCCAGGGCAGTAACTCCCCAAGTGGCCTTGGGCAAGTCTCTTCACCCACTGTGCTCTATGCTCTTGAAGGTCCCTTCCAGCCCTGATGCAACCAGGATGAGAATTTTTCTACAGTTTCCTTCTTCCTAATTAATACTGAAAGATTAATTTTTCGTATAAAATGCACTCCCGTATGGAAGGTATGATGTTCAGTGCTGGGGATACAACATTTAAGAGAAGTCAGGGTCCATGCCCTTTGTCTACCTTGTCTTGAAAGGTAGACAAATATTTCATTCAATAATTATATAATTATAACAGTGATAAATGTTACTTGGTGCTATGGGAGTGTGTAATGGGCGCTCAGGAAAGGTTTGCCAAGGAAACAACACTGACACTGAGACCTGAGAGCAGAGCTAAGGATGGGGCTTGGGGTAAGGAGCCACTCCAGGCAGAGGGAGAAGCATGTGTGAAGTGATGCCAGAAAAAGCATTCCTTTCAGGAATATTCCAAACCTGAGGGAGAATCAAATGACCAATAAAATGAAGCCAACCTTTTAGGGCCATATATTTAAAGAAAAAAAGAGCACCTTTTATCAAAAACAGAGAACAGACTCAAAATCTGACCTCGAAACGAACAGGAACGATTTTATGCCGAAACTGATAACCTCTTCTCTGACCACAGCCGTCCAGCTACAAAGCTCCCAGACCCTCATTTGCCACGCCTCAACACAGGTGCTGTCAATGCCCTCAGGTCGTCCACAGCTGCTTCCGGGCCTGGGTGACCTATGGCTGTCCCACCGAGCACAGCAGAGAGAGGGAGCACGAAACACAAGACACCGCGATGGGGACCTGGCCCTGAGGCCAAGATTGCTGGTGCTGACTATGTGCCCGGCATCACGCACGGGCACAAGACGTAAGACCCGATATGTTCGTAGCACCAGGGGGCACCAGAGAAGAGGAGGGAGAGGAAGACGTGCCTTTCAGATGGGGTTTCCCTGGAAGGCTCCAAAGAGGGGACGGAATCTGCAGATGGCCAAGACCTGGAGATGGAGAGAGAAAGAGTATCCTGACAGCAGCTAGAAAGCCCCGAGCACACACGAAGTTGTGGCTGGAGCTTGAGAGAAAGGGATGGGTAGAGATCTGGCCCGAGTTGCTACCTCTGACTCCATGAAGGGAAAAAATGACAATGCTGGTCTTCAGGGTAGAGATCCAGTCAAATCCCAGCTCTGCCCAGAATGGCCCTTTGATCAAGGGCCCTTGGTTTTCTCCCTTGGACCAGTACAGAGTTTCTCAAGCATTAGAGTCCTAGGGATCACCCAGGACAGGCTGCCAGGTCTCACCCTGAGATTCCAGTTAGGTAAACTGGGATGGGCCCCAGGCTCAAAAACCCCAGGTCAGACAGTGGGTCAAGGACCTGGATTCTTGGCCTCCTATAGCATGAAGTCCAGGCCCCGGGGCCCTTCCCTGACTATGGTGTGTACTCCAGACAGGCTTACTTGTTCTGGGCAGGGGACAGATCTTGTGTGCTATGGGGAGAAGCGGGAATGGAAAGCGGTGGAAGGCTGGGCATGGACTGTCCCCAAGTCTAGGGACATTCCAGGGAAGGTGAAAGCTAAGTAAAGAGTGGCCAAGGGCCCAGGAGGGTAGGAAGGACATCCTAGGCAGAGAGTCCATCTTGTATAAAGGCACATTCAGCACAATCAAGATCTAAGGTGCACATAGGAGGAAAAGAAGCAAGGCTGGAGAGGAGGGCCAGGCCCACGACACAGACAGCCCTCCTAGAAGTTGGGACTTGAGCTGCCACAGATCCCTGAACCCTGCAGGATCCTGGCAGCAGCTCCCCTTGTCACTCACTGGGCGCAAACACATGGGACATTACTCTTATCTCACTACCCCGTCCCCGACCATCAGTCTCCATCCTTTAAGATCACCTACTAATCCTATCCAAAATCAGACCCTCTGTGCAACTATTAGGTCAAAATGAGGCTAGCAACTTGACTGAAACAATTAACACTAAGCCAGGAACCTAACCTCTGACAAGCAGAGCCAAGAGATCATGGGAGATGATGGAGAGAGAAGGGAGCTGAGCTGCCACGGAGGCAGGTTGGTCCAGCCTGGGACAAGGTGTCTAGCTCTGCTGTGCTCTCCCCAGATCTAATCTGTACCTCTTAGAGCTTTCCCTTCCTCCCTCGGAGGAACCGGTGGCTTCTCTAAATGGGTTCATGACCCTTGAGAGTGGGGAAGAAGTCACAGAAAGGGGATGAGGTGGTTCACACTGTCTGGGTTTGGGCTTAGCCAGTTCTGACTGAAATATGAGAGATGTCACTGCAACTTCGATTCACGCCACCTCACTAAGACCCTGTCCAGCAGACCCTGAACAGAACGACTACTGCCCTCAAACGATCTGTTCCAACCTCAAAAGTCAAAGACTGCGGAGAATAAAAAGCGCGGACTGCGAAGGCAGTGCTGGATCCTGCAAGGCCAGCAGAGAGGGGGCGAGCCAATTCTCGGGGGAGAGGGGTGGGCAACGGGTCAGGGTAGTCAGTAGACACCCGGCAGCACTCCTGCACCCACCCGCTGCGTGCTTCTGGCTCCTGGACACGCCCCCCGGACGCTGCCTCCAGCATAGGGCGAAGGCAGGTTTCGGGCAAAGCTGGGGCAATGTTGGAGGGAGGGGGGCGGGGAGCGACAAACGTATGGGGTGGGCCATCCGCCGGGAACCCCCAGCCGCAGTCCCGCTCACCTTGCACTTGAAGCCGGCGGCTGGCGGCAAAAGCTCTCGCAGCAGGGCCTTGGCCACCTCGCGGCTGGCCTCCTCGCTCACGAAGTGCAGGTTAAGCACCTCGTGCGCCTCGAACTTAGCGAGGCGCAGCAGGGAGCTGAGCGCGACGCGGGCCTTGGCCTGCAGCGCGGCGTTGTGTTCCGCCTTGGTGAACATCATCAGCAGGTGATAGTCCACCGGCCCGGGCCCGCCGCCCTCCAGGCTCTTGGCCTTTGCGCCCGGGGCCGGCGCCACGGAACCCCGCGCCACCTCTGGCACGGGCGGCGAGGGCACGGCGGGGACCCCGGCGCGGGCCTCCTTCAGCCTCTTGGTGGCGCTGGAGAAGGTCTCCCGGCCCGAGCCGAGGTAGTAGAAAGCACAGACGGCCAGCGCCGCGGCCAGCAGCAGCGCGCAGTAGTGGGAGCGCACAGCGCCCAGGCGCGCCATGGCCCGAGCGCATGAGGGCCCGCCTCGCCGACCCATGCACCACCGACCCGCGGACAGAGCAGCCGAGGAGCCGCAGCAGAGTCCAGCACCCTGGCAGCCACTTAGTAGCCCAGGCGGCGGGCAGCGGCCATGGCGGGGGCGGGGCCGCGCTGCCCGGAGCCAATCCGCGGGCGCTGATGCGCGGAGAGGCTGGGCCAGGGCTGCCCGGCAGCCGCTGGGTCCTAGATTTAGAGGGATTCGAGACGGGAAGGAGCCAGCGGTGGGTGAGGAGGACTCAGACTTCGAGAAAGCCAGCGCGGCCGTAAGGTCTGTCAAAACTGGCCGTCCTAAATGCCCAGCCCCAGACGCTAGAAATCGAAGCTGAGCCTTGAAAGGTATAGAGGCGCCCCAACGCAGGATCTTCGGTTAGCAAAAACACTAAACTGGACGCACAAAACGGGAAAAATTTTATCTCTATACCTTTCTCCCCCAAATGTTTGGAAGCTTGAAGTCCTCTCCCCGCCGACTCCCTTCACACCTGGGAGAACTAGCTGAGGTTAGGGAATTTAAACTAACAAGTTCCATCCTCATTAACGGTAAGTGAAGGTGGAAATGGCCTGCCCAGCCCACTGGCACCTGAGGCCACGTAAAGGATGTGGCCAGCAGGGGGACCCCGCTGCCCACGACTTTGGGATAGTTTCCAGAGCCCCAGGGGAGTAACGCCCCGAGACTCTTGTTTCTTTTTTTAACAGACTAACACTTTAAAACAGCCTTAACATGTACCAAGTCGTTTTTCAAAATTTTAACCCAGGCACACTGAGGTAACTTGCCCAAGGTCACACAGTTGCGGTTTTGACCTTAGACAGCTGGACACTTGACAACTACATAAAAACTCATTAACTTCAGTCTACGGACTGATGATAATACTATAACTTTTAAATATGGTCTGCATACGTGTATAAATGATCTGCAAGCTTGAAGGACGCGGCGGTGAAAATGCATGGGCAAATGCACATACGAATTATCACTCAGTTTATTGTGCCATCCCCTTATTGGTCAAAGTGACTGGTACCCAGAACCACAATTCATCTCATTTTTAACTCTTTTCAATTGGACTAACAAGTTTTCTGAAAAAACATTGGACCTCTGAAGTGGGCTGAGCAACAAGATCAATACATACTAATTACCTTGGGGGGATGAGGGTAACCCAATAGCTCAATTAACTCACTTGACAGGCTCTTACTTTAATTCACTTAATCCTCACAACCCTAAGAAGTAGAGTTCTTATTTGCACTTTACAATTGAGGAAACAGATTTAGAGCAGTATATTGCCCAAACCTAGTTGGCTAGTAATACAGCGAGATCTCAACCCAAGTCTTCCTGCTTCCAATGCCAAAGCTTTTAGCCAAGATTCGCACTGAAAGCAGTATTTTGAGCCCTGAGTTGTGTGTATTTAACCACAACCTTCAGCAGACACTGGTTACAAGAGCAAGCTCTCCCAAGTTAATCTAGCACTACAAATTATTAGACTTCAGACAGGTTCCTTAATCTGAGCTGCAATTACACCCATTTGGAAAACAGGGCTAATACTAGTACCTAAGCCTCATAGGATTATAAGACAATACATAAAAAGCAGTTAGAACTGTGCCTAACACTTAGCAAACAATATAAACTATGCTAGAAACACCAAATTCTACAAGGCTAAATATCCAACAAGTACCAAATTATAGCAACCATAGCTTTTCTAGGGTAATTACAAATATCAAACTACAAATCTCCATTAAAACTTTATTATATGCTCCACAGAATCCCCACAGCAGTGTGCTACAGCTATATTATTACATTCTAATTGTTGTTCAACAATAAGAGAAAAATAATTCTGGAATTGTGCCCTTCATCTTCACCATCAATAATGTGGTTTTTCCTTCTGCCACTTATTCTAGAATTTATTCCATTATTTTATTTTTCAGACCTTTACAAGATCACTACTCCTGGCATTTATGGATAAAAAATGAATTAACAAGATAATTTTAAATTTTACATAGAAAGGAAAATACTCGAGACTCTCTCCATGTTTTCTTCATTCCCAATTCTTTGACCATAAAGATAAATTAATGTTGCAGCTTCCTGAAATATACCGCTCGCTGGAAACTGAAATAGGAGTTGAATGAAGGTGGCTAGTCATTTATTCAATAGATAACATAGTGACTACTGCATATCAAGCACAGTAGGTGCCTGAGGATTACAGCAGTGAAAAAAAAAAAAAACAAATCGGGGAAATAGACAAGAAAAGGTATGTAGTATGTCAGATGGTGACAGGTTTCCTCAGCTCAAAATAGAGATAGCTGGGTGTATAATAACATGGCTAAATAGACAAAGAACTTTGGTAAGCACAATAACTCTTTGAGTTCTAACTTTGGTCAATTTCTCAGACTTCTGACCAGGGATTAGAGGTAATTGGCTTTTCCATCTGTAATGTTGGATAATCAGATTTTTATCATATTGACTAGTACCCAATATTGTCAAGGATAGAGAGAGACACTTTCCTCTACAGCAGATGGAGGGAGGGTACTTTTCTGGAGGGCACTCTGGCAATACTAAAATCTTTCTGGCCCCTAAGAGAACTCTCAATTCTGTCCTATCCTGATGAATGTTTCTCCCCAAGGCAGTGGTTCTCAGATTTTGGTTGGCATTGGAAGCACCTGGGGAGCTTGGTAAAAAGAGAGAATCAGGTTCATCTTCAATGAGCCTGGGCCTCAATAGTGAATCTTTTACAGACCAAAGTTTCTAAAGCACTGCCTTAGATCTTCACACAGCCAATCTCTCCTTCTCGTCAAACCTTGACTTAGATGTCACTGCCCTGCTGAGTGGTCTCTCAACACCAAGCCATCCAGTGTCCAGGCACTATCCTCCAACAATCCCATGAGGGCCACCTATAAACTATTCAGTCCCATCTTTCTCCATTGCAAGAAGGCAAGATCTCACAAAAAATAGGAAGTACATCTTTTTTTTTTTTACCATAATATCCCCAATAACTGACTCATTGAAATGAGCCTCAAACATATATCCACCCATTGTGAATCAGCATTTTTACTTCTAGGAATTCATCCTGAGGAAATAATTAAGAATGTATGCACCTGTTTAGCCATAAGGATAAAGCAGAGCTAGTTTTATGATGGCAAGAATTTAGAATCAAACGTTGACCAATAAAGTGGTTAAACAAAAATAATGATGCTGTCATTAAAAGTGATGTATTCACAAACTGCAAGTGGAAACATTTCCAAATAAATGGAGGAAGAACTTATAGCGACTCAAGAGACCTATTAGCCAACGGCAATGAATGGAACTTCTATGAATTCTAATTTGAAGAATCTATTTTTAAAAAGCACATTTGATATAATCGGGACAACCTGAATACTGAATAGTTTTATAGTTTAAGGAAATGAGATATTGTGATTGTTTTTCTTTTAGGGATACATACTGAATGATTTGTTAGTGAAATGTCTGAGATTTGATACAAAATAAAATCTGGGAAAGAGAAAAAAAATGGGTGGGAATATTGACAAAACAATGTTAGCCATGAGCTACCAGCTATTGAAATTATTCTATTTTGTTTATGTTTGAAATTTTCCATAATAAAGACTTTTTTAAAATCCTCCCCAAAGTGATGTACACTGAAGGACTTAGAAATCTGTTCCCCATTTATTAAGTGAAAGAAACAGATAACAAAACAGTATGATCCCATTGTATATCAACCAAAATACACACACCCAAAGTTCTAGAAAGATATATACTGAGAAAGTTTCCCCCTCAATACTATTTGACAAAATTTCCTACAATGATGGACATGTTCTTCAATCTGTCCTGTTCAAAAAGTAGTCACTAGGCACATGTGGCTGAGCTCTTAAAATGTAGCAGTGTGACAGAATTGAACTTTTAATTTTGTCTAATTTTAATTAATTTCAATAACTACATGTGGCTAGTAGAGACCATATTGGAAGCACAGGCAGATGATGGAATTATGGATGATTATCTTTTTTACTTGTTGTTAAACATTTTTCTACAATGAAAAAGCATTGTTTTGCAATAGGAAAAAGTTGGTTGTCGTTTTCATTTAAAAAATTTACTATTGGTGTGAGTTCTCTTCTTCACAGAACTATTCCGAAAATGAAATGAAGTGGAATAAAGCAAGTCACACAGAAAAGTTTTATGTGTCTGCTTTTAATTAACTTAAAAGGCAAAAAAAAGCTGGTGATTCACTTCCAGGTCTGTTCTTTCAACCCTCCATTCCTTAGATCTCAATTCATATAGAAACATGTTTTTGTTTATTTACTAAAAGGATTGAGTGTGAACGTGTTGCCTAGATGGGGAACTTCAACAGATGTCAATCATTATGGAAAATAATTAGGGCTAGCCCCCATTCCCACAAAAAAAGAAAAAAGCCTTTGTCATTTTTAGCTAATAAATGCATACAGCTCTGTGATCAGGAAGAAAATACTTAAAAGATGAAAATGGATTTCCTGATTGAAGCAATCAGCAAAGAGGATCAACTGGATCAATGTGACAGAGCTGGAAAGGAATAGAAGACCTTAAACATGACAGTTCTTAACAGACATGTCTGCAGTTGTAGTTCACAATAAAGTGCAAGTCTGAGCATAAGAGAACTATGCCAGAGGTGAGATTTTTATTGACTTATCATAATTTTTCAGCATACAAAGTATTTAATCAAGTATATTTACAATTCTTACATAATGTACATTTTAGAATAACTATAATGATAATGTACTTTTCTCCATTTACAATGACAAACTACAGTAAAACTACATTCATGAATTAGATACAAATCCTCTACATACTAATAAAAAGTAAATGGAGTGTTGGTTATACATTCTTTAAAATATGCCTTTTCACAGGTAGCAAGAAATATTACATGTAATAAGTCTTTATGACCGGAATGATCCAGAAATACCACAAAGCACAAGTAAACACATATAGAAAAGTAGCTCATCATTTCCAAAAGTTAACCTTTAGCCTTTGTGTAAAATAAATGGTGCCAGCAATCTTTATAATGTAAGCAAGCTTTCCCTGTTTAAAATTAACACCCAAGGCAGGGGATTGTTGAGGAAAAATAAGAAAATCTTAAAACATAAGATAGTGAAAAGACCAATGCAGAGAAAAGATTATTTAATCAAACCTTATTTCCCTCCCCTTATTATTTCATTTTAAGTGGATAAGTTTATGTAATTGGGAAAGGATGTCTACAAAACCATGTTTATAGATGTCAGGATTCAGCCAAACTGAATCCAAGCCCCTTTTAAAGTTACCTTTCATTTGGAAGCATCAAGAATTTGATAAGTATATGGTAAATTAAAATCACCTTACCATGTTTTCCTTTCATTAATATTTGTTATTATAAAAATGTAATATTTCCTACAATTTAATGTCTTCAAATTCTAATCTATTCCTTCAAGGTAATTTTATATCCAGGTTCTCCAGAATATTTGGGGTCTTCGTTATGAAAACACAAGGAAAGCTGGCAGTCATTATCAGACTTTGCTACTTTACAATGATTTCAAAACATTTCATGATACAAGTACAAGTAAAGTGCCTCTGACTAGTAGTCAGTCAGACAGGGGTTCTGGTGTCAGCTGCCCTACCAACCAGCACATCAATGACTCCCCTCTATAAACCAAGAGGAGCAGCCCAGGATCAAAGAAAAGAAATGCTGGCATTCTCAGATTAATATCACAGAAGTCCTACTGTCAGAATCAGGTGGGATAAAGTAATGTCAAAGTACACTGTGAGCAGAACTGTACACAAAAGCATGTTGTTATAGTTTTAATTAACTTAAAAGTTAATTAAATGTTTTACCCACCCATGTTTTACCCACTCATTTTATTTGTGAGGAGCTCTGAATCCAAAAAGGGCAATAACTACTAGTCAGTGCTCTTTCCACTATATCATGAAGGTGGAAGTCATTTTGGACATAATAATTCTATAAAATACATCATTTTTCCTGCTCCTGTCCATGATCAAAAGTGCTATCAAACAGAAAAGTTAATATGACAATATAAGAGTGCTATGGGAATGTCTTCTTATTCAGAATGAGTAGTAAATTTAGTCTTAAATACAATTTACTTTATTACTCACCATACTTTGCATGTGTAAAACTGTATTTTTTAAAATACTGCCCAACACATCACAAACTTAAGTTGTCCAGACTGTGAAGGTGTAGTTTTTTTTTCAAAATTATAGTATATATTCCAAATTAAATATGTTTCAGAAAGTAAACATCAAAGCTCATTAAAATATACAGTGAAGACCAGTAAAAATTAGGTAAACACTGTAATGTACTAAATCCCTGGAAATTTCTGAATTTCTAAGGATTGTACCAAAGGTAATTTTTAGAAACCTTAGAAATCTTAAACATAAAAGTGTTACAAGGAAACACTGCAAATAACTACTCAATTATCTTTAGTTCTAGTGTGAGACTGCATTTTATGAGCTCTTCATAGTACTGCTGTTCTTATTTTGATGTTAATCTAGTTACTGTGCTAGTGACAATAAGCTAATAGAGTACTGATAAGGAATCAGAAACTAATATAAGCAGATCAGTTAGGGAAAGAAAACAAAGGGCCATCACATTGACTTACAAAGCCCAAAAATATGATTAACATTGTTCACACTATAATTTCTCATAATGCATTGAGAATAATTCACAGCATAATAAAACTCAGATTTGCTACATACTATATAAGAGCTATTAGTTGACACAGCTAAATTCACCTTGGTAAGAGTCAATCTACTTTGTAACTACTTGTAACTATTAACTTACTTTAACGCCTTGCTATATATTTACTGCATCATTTCTGCCAAATTTCATCCAAACTGGGTCACGGCATATGCAAGAAATCAAGCCACAGGAATGTATTTTTGTATTGCCAGGCTCCCTATACTGTTAAAGATTTCGTTTCTCTGAAGATATTCAGAACCATGATAATTTTCAAATACATCTCTAACCATTAAATTTAAGTAGACACTAATTACTACCACATTAATAAAACTCATGACTCAAGCCACAGGAGGTAAGAGTGTCATAAGGAATTGTCTTCACAACCAGAGACCCCAGAGATGATCTGAAGCACCAATGGCTGGATCCCAAAGCAAAACTGTTCAGGCTTCCTCAGATAAAGGTTAGGAGCTTTAGATGTGAAGCCTATGATTAACAGGAATAGGCACTACAAAGGAAAAGTGAGCTTCTCTTTTTCTTTCTGTTCATTTTTAACATATTTCCTTATCCTTGAACTTTTTGGACAACTTCAAAGTACACTCTAATAAAAATGTTACAAACTAGACTTGTGCAAAGCCAGATGATCTGTGACTCTGAGGTGAGAAACAGAGAAGATTTAATGTTCCTGTTACTGTTGCAATTAAAATACAGGCTTTGGAAGTTAATATTTTCTTAGAAATAACTATTAAATATATTTTATCCTGATCTAACATACACTGTTACTAAATAAGCATTATAGGCACACAATTTGGCCAAATATGGAAACTTTTCTGTGACATGAATTTACTTCAGTCTAATTCCTGATTTGACATGCAATCGGCTTATAAAACTCTAGTTACTGGAGGGAGGGATGTTAGAAAATTTTATTATCTACCAAATTAAATATAATTTTTCTACTTATTTGGTAATGCAAATTTTAAAAACTCTTATTTAGAAACTGAGTATCAATAATATCACTTTGACATAACTTGTAAAAGAAGATTAAACTTAATTATTGACAATATTAGAAACCATAAGGCAAATTACTTAATTATTTTGTACTCCCGACAAGATATGTCAATCAAAGATGGAATCAGACAAATTTATAGCATTCATGTGTAAATTAGTAGATCCATGTTTTGGAATTCAAGGGTCAGCGTTTCATGTAACCAACTACTAAAGATATATAGATAGTATAATTAAAAATACTGTACACTGTGTACAAAGTACACAGGATAGATGTTGAAAAAATTTAAAAGCAATTTATCATTACAGAATTTAGTATAAACTAAGAAAAACATGAGGTTTTTCTTTTACAGAAATTTTTCTTTCACTCAATGCAATAGCAAAATTATCTTGAAAAGGAGAAATTTCAAATATAAAAATGCTCTACATAATTTTATAAATCAACTTATCCTTTGAAAGTTTTACAATCTGATAAAAGCATAATTTTTCAACATTCAAGTAACCTTTGAAACACAGTTTTATTACATCAATAAATTTGTCGAGGTTTTAGGAAACCAACCCAACAATGAAGGACTACAACTTCTATAAGTAAGGATTCTTTTGGTTATTTAAAAAAAAAAAAATTGTTAAGGGCTTCTTTTTGCTTCATAAAATGGAATAAATCTAAAAGACTGAGTTATGTCTACTTGTACAGCCATTACACGTATGTTAACATACATGACAATAACCAGACATCTAAGGAGTATCACTACATTTATGAGCAAATGGAGGAAACATATTCTCTAGCTCTGATAATTAAATTACATATTGTGTATATGATAGTTAGGATACTAGAAAACAAAACAAAACAACAAAAAAAAATATTTTTGAACCACCAAAAGTCATTAGGGAAGCTAAAAAAAAAGACATATTCTTCAGGCAGACAGAACATCTGGCTCTCACTTTGATGCAGACATGCTTGACTGAATGATCCTGGGCATGATGTATAGAAAAAAAAAAATCAATGCTACCACCCATTGGCAAAAACAGAGATTTTGTCTAAACTCTTAGCATCTTATAACCTAGAGATGACCTAAGTCTAGATTTAACTTTATCTATAAAAAATAGCCCTTTAAACACTTTTTTTAATATAGAAGAGGTCCTAAAATAGGTTCCTCTCCCAACTACTAGAGCTCTATGTTTTAATTTATAAAAATATCAATGAATGGGTAACTTTTTTCCAAACCACTCAATACCTACTAAAATTAAGTAGAATTAAAGCAGTAAAAATTTGTGAGATTTCAGATGTACACATTAGGGGATCATTCAATTTAATATTTTCCCCTTCTTAAAATAACTCAGAATTTCTGTGAATCTTGCTGGAAACGATTTAGTTTCTCTGGATTATTGGATGCCATTTGGGAAAAATCACGAAAAATATCCTGGTAGGTTTCATCACCTGCATGAAAGTAAAACAAAGACGCTTTTAAAATGTATACAATGAAAGTATAAATAAACAACATTCATTTTTATGGCTAGTAACTATAATTAATCATATTCAAATTTTGCTCAGATGAGCTTTTTTGGAAGAAAAAAGACTAACATATATAAATGCTGGAAAAGCATACAGTGAAAGAAAAAAAAGCTATACCTGAAAAAAGCACCTCAGATGCAGCCACAGAGGAAAGCTCAGAGTTAGAAAAGAGCAAAGATGCAAGTGTTTTAAAAGCAATGTAAAGAAATACATTTATTTACACAGAAATAAAAGTCATTCTAAATGAGGTATAGTAAACAAGGCATTCTTTAAATAAGTATTTCACTTGATCAAAGCCAAAAGAAAAGACCAATAGCAAATAACTAATGCTTCTGATGGATGCAAGTTATTAATAAGACAAACTGATAACCAGTTGAGAAAAAAAGCCTATTTTAATATCATCTTTTAGTTAAAAGGCATTTTAATTTAAATAGCATGTGAAAAAGAAATTCTTTAACTTTAATGCTTAACTAAAATTAATGCACCTAATCCACTGCTTACTAAGCTTGTAAAATAATAAAGCCTAGAAAATGACTAAACTAAAGTCAGTTTCACATTTAGTCAGAAGTTTTTTTACTGTAGGTCATATGAGCAAGAGTGTTATTACAAAAGGGGGACAGATACCAAAGATGTCTGTTAAATTAGAGTAATACACACATGTATATACATACAAATACGCTTATAGAGAAGCAGATTATAGAACTGATACTACAGCAGACTGAATACTGTTTTTCTTGCTAGGAGAAACTAAATATATGCATACATAAAGATGAATTCCTCAGATGAAGGATTTATATAAAGTAAAATCTTATTTTCAAGATGAATCTTTCATCATGACTACTTCCTGTTAAACATTAGCTTTACACAGAAGCTTAGCATAGTTGTTTTCAAAGTTTAAACCATTAAATACTGTTTTAAATGATTACTGCTGCAACATGGTTTTATGATTATTTCCCATAAGATATCTTGCATCCATCTTATTACAAACTCATTGCTACAGCTGTTAATAGTGCAGTTAAGTTTTCTCAGCTTTTAATAAGCAAGATCTTTGAGGCAGTAGGTGTCATACCAAAAGCTAGAGAATCGGAAAAAAGTTGGGGGAAGGGGATAAAGATCTAGTAAAAAGGTCTAACAGCATAACCCAAGAGTTTCAATAAAAATTTTTAATACTTTTAACATTTAGTTACTTTTAGTATTTAGTCTATGTAAAAAGCAAGTTATTAAAATCTCTATATAGTTTTCATTTAGTCCTGGAAATTTTCTCACAACCTGAATCAATCAGTCTACTTTAAAAAGAAAAAATACAGTAAGAAGAAAATCTTAATAAGTTGGCTAAGAGTAGCATCTAACTCATATTATGTTATTAAAACAATAAAAATAAAATTTGATATACCGGGACAACTGTTAGGACAATCCAATTACACCCATGACTTCTTTAAAAGTTAAACTCTCACATTAAAAGACAAACTACAAATCTATTCCCATTTTTAGCCATTCTAGAAGATATAAAATAAACTGAAGAGACCAACATTAAATATCAATTAACAAACCATACAAAATATTTAAAAATTCTTATTCTTAGATGTTGAATTAAAATATTTAAAATATTTATTGTAAACATTAGAAATATTTTTAAAATACTATTTAAACTTGAAAGTCTGGAATTTTACTTTCCAAGGAAGTGTAAAGTGCAGATTATAATACAAAAATAACACACTGATTTTACCATTCAACACCAGAAGTAACTTAAAAGGCACACATTATACATTCAAGGAGAAATAGGAAGAAGAATCTAGCAGACGCCAATGCCAAATAGTTTACAGATAGCACCAGATGAGCATTCTTAAGTATTACAACAGTACAATGGCAATATATGGCTTCTACTATTAGCAATGCATATTCTGTATAACAAACTGTAGGGGTTTTTTTCTTTTTATGGTTTTCCAGCTTTTGTTCTTAAATCATCTAGTACCTATTACACAAGTACATTTTAGTAGAACCATTGTACCATGCAAAACAAGTTATAAGATCTTTTATTCACTGAATTAAATGCTTCCTTGAAGGAAAGTGTTGGTGCTACACTAATCATTGGTTTCACGAATACATTTTAAGAGTTAATACAATACAAAAGGAAGTCTCACCTTCACACACACAAACTTCCTGTTAACGTTCAGTTTCTAACAAACATTAATTAATGGACTATCAATAAAATACCTTTCTTAGGGCTCAAAATGTATTATCAAAAAGCAAACATTACAATAACAATAGTGACTAAGATACTTAATATAGTTAACATAAATTGAACTTCAATGTGATTCTTTAAAATTTAAGTATAATTTTCATCATTTAGAATTTTTCCCAAGGCAAATATAACTTGTCTACACTAGAATACATAAACAATAACCCAGAATATGCTGCCCTGGAAGGTCACAGAAGTACATTTAACAGTTTATTACAAATGGTAAGCAACTAATCACCCAGTATTTGTAATGCTAAGTTATATACTTTAAATTACTTAGTCACATTCTATTTCTCTTCTAATAGTTAACTATTCTATGTGCCCAGACAGTTCTGAATTTTTAAAATATGAACTGCTGTATGTCCACTGATAGTTTAAAATAGTTTTTGGTTTTTGGTATTCAGAATATCCATTGCAACAGCAATGATGATGATCCAAGATTTTGTTGATTTTGCTCTTGAAATGCACTCCCCTCAAAGAGATGGCAGCACGTGAGACCCCACCCCAAGGTGATCAAGTATATGATCCCACCCTTTCTGGGCTGATTACAGCTTTCTTTTGAAAACTGATCAGTGATCAACCTTTGCCAGCAACATATTCCCATAACCAGCAGTGGTTCACTAAAACAATAATTTTCAACTGGCTGAGAAACTCTGCCAACAATCAAGAGGAGTCATAGAGCCAGAGACTGTGGGAACCACCAAAGTGGTTTCCAGCAACTGAGAGCAGGGCGTGATATTTCACTCACTCACCCAGTCCTCTTAAGAGTTGTAGGACCTGATAAAGAGGGATACATCTTCCCTTCAGGAAATGTGTGCTCTTATAGCGCCTTGCAAAAAGCAGGGAGTTTCAGGTCCTTAGGGTTGTATACAGAAGTTTCAGAAGTGGGGTTTCTCAGAAATAAGTCCATGATTCCCAAAGATTATATCTGAGACTTTTAAATGATAGGGCCCTTCATTATCAAAAGGTTGAAAATACCTGCATTTTAAAATTACCCACAATTCTGAGTTATTGCTAGGCCACCAAAAAAAAAAAAAAAAAAAATCTAGATAAAACAATCAACCACAATTAATGAGAGAAAAAGAACAGTGACAAGTGGAGGGAAAGAAAGACCTACTGCCTGAGCAAACATTTGCTCTCCAAAGACTCATGAAGGACAAGTAGCCAGAGAGCAATTGCTGTGCCATTTCACCAGGTCACCTGGATAAGTATATAAAATTGTTCTGCTTTACATATGAGACCCCCTAAATGCATTAAAAATCTAACTATTATCAAGATTATCCTCTCATTTTATTCTGCTGATACACCATTTCCAGAATTCTGATCTATTTTCAACCTCTAAAATTTGAGAGTGATAGAAAAAATATTTCCGTTTTTTTTTAAGTGAGGCTTTTTTTGTTCAAATTTTCAGTCAAATACATTGGAAAAATTCATTTTTCTACTGAGGAAAGGAAGGTGTATGCTCATAAACTTATATATAAAACAACAGTGAAAGAGACATTTGAACACTCCTCAACGGTGGCAGAAGTCCAAGCAATTTGAGTGGAACTAGAAGTCACAAGAACATGGAGGCCCTGTCCTTTCAAGCTTCCCAACTCCAAAGGAAAGTGACCACTGACCTTAAGACTAATCAGTTGGGTGTAACTTCATTAGCAAATAGCTTAAGGAAAGAACAGCTGACCAAACATTTAAGTTTAAAATTTCAGGAATAAGAATTATTTAACTTAAAATCTTGAAGTTCACTCTTACCTCACAAATATCAGGTTATATCCTTTGAATAATTTTATTTTTAAAGTGCTTAAACACAAAGGCCTCAAAAATGGCCTAGTAATACTCTCACTTAAGTATATCTGTTACAAAATTATAACTTATTTAAAATCTAACATTCAAGTTTAAAACAAATGGGTGAAATTCAGAATTAACGCTGACACTTCACCCTTAATCAGCACTCTTACATCTTGGTATACCATGAGTCAGTAGTATTATTTGATCCATAGGATTAAAGTGGGACACCCTAGATTAAAAATATCTAGCTGAAGTGCCTCTATTCTCAAAAGTTCTTACTTGTTCCCTATTAAACTAGACCAACAATAAGTAGTAGATACAGTCCTCTGAGACAAGAATGGCCCCATATTTATACTAACTATATATTAATCCAGTTAAAATAAAAGTTAATGGCTGAAGCTAGAATAAAATATCGAAATTTCGAAACATATTTAAACAGGAAGAATAGATGATATTACCAAGCCACTTTAAAAATAACACATTAATATTCATTTAAAAAAATCAAATATACTTGAAACTAATATTCTCAATTATTTTGGTCATGAATTCCTGAAATTTTTTACTAATACATACACGAATGTAAAACAAACTAGTAATTCATATACTCAAATTCATGAAACTGGAGATCCAATTATTACTTTTTTTTGTGAAGAATGTCTAATTAGGATGTGTTCATCAAAGAAAGGAATCTGATTAGCAACATTTCTTCCTTTTCCTGACATCTTGACTCAAAGGTGAAAATTACTCAAAATGAGACGTGAACTGATCCTGAGTTGAGGTTTCTCTAACAAGTCTACTCTGCCATCAGGTTCATGAAATACTGTTCTAAATACTTCTATTTATCCAACAAGTATCGTATGATTGCTGGGGGCAAAGCTCAAGATAAAGTGAGACCCTTTCTCTATACCTTTTAAACTAACCCCACTCCCATTATGGACTTCTTAAACTACTAGTAAATTTTATTTTTAAACCTACAACTTATTTTTAGATCAGAGTACAGAACTCTCCATTCAATAAACGTTTTCTAGGGATTTTCCATACTGACTTTTTATATGCCAAACACATGGTGATTTTTTTTTCCCTGAACACAATTCATAGAAATTCCCTGAATAACAAAAAGAAAACAACTCTGTTATATTCACTTGACAGCTAAAGAGAATTCCAAAATGAAAATGACTATTTTGCTGCTGTAAGGTATAAAGATAGGTTATCATTCCATTCGCGTCACTGGAATGTATATGGAAGACATCTGTACAGCAGATAAAGAAGTCAGCAGCCAAAGTTGAACACAGCAAGTAAATGTGTACTGTAGTAGGAATAGTTACGGAGTTTTAAAGGCTCAGGAGTTAGCCACTCCCAAGAATTCAGTAGGTACAATACATAATAACTCACAATTTATACATTATAAAATCTCTAGAGTATTAAGTCAGTTCTCTAAAGAACTATGAATCTTCCAATTGTAAACTAATAAATTCCTGAATGCATTTCTTATACTGCATTTCAGTATGGTTATTAGTAGAATATTGACCTGGCTGTCCATAAAGTCCTTCTGATTCCCGCATCTCTTCATTCATTCTTGCTAAACGTAACCTAAAATTAAAGGAAAGGATTATTAAAGTTATGTAATATATTCATAAATTAGTGAATTATATAAGCAGGTAAAAACATACACTGATATAATCTTTTCCTTTTCCCAGTATTTACCATTAAAATAGATGGAGTTTTAGTTTTAGTTTTCTTTACACAATTCTCATGAGAGAAGGCAATAAAAGATTTATTTTTTTCTCTTCAAAGATTTTATTTTTAAGTAAATCTCTAAGCCCAACAATGGACTTGAGCTCACAACCCCGAGACCAAGAGTCACATGCTCTACCGACTGAGCCAGCCAGGTGCCCTGACAATAAAGGATTTCTAACAAGTACATTTCAGCTGTTTAAGCAGGACCCTTGCAGCATATCCAGGAGCTTACTTGCCTCCAGACTGGCTTCTACAGCAACCTGCCCCACTTTAACTGCCAACTGTTGAAAGTGTTGCTTCTACAGTGCGGGATGTCATATTGTATCGTATAAATTCATTCTGGTTCACCACGAGGTGAGGTCGTTCCAGGTATGTAAATAGTATGTGTTATGTCATAATAGTGGAATTACATTTTGATGTATTAAATGACCATAGGTTACCAAGATTTTCCAAGGTTACCATTTAATTATACATTCTTTTTTGGGTTATTCATCCTGGCAGCTGGAAGACATATAGCACTGGATTAAGAAGACAAGAATTTCCTCCCATTGTCTTACTAACTCTAAGCAACTTTAAGCAACATTTTGAAAGAGGCAAATGTTGCCTTTGGTGCACCTCTCCCACCTTGTACTATCTGTACTATTCGCCTGTGCCTCAGGCCACCAAAACCTCACTGCCCAATGAAAGCTCTATCACCCTCTACTGACATGCACTCTCTGACATCTGCAGCATGTGACATGAGCTTTCCCTCTCTTCAGAATATCACCATTCCAGGGTTTCTGGGTGGCTCAGTTGGTTGGGCTTGGGTCGTGATCCTGAAGTCCCAGGACTGAGTCCCGCATCAGGCTCCCTGCTCAGTGGGGAGTCTGCTTCTCCCTCTGAAACTGCCCCGTCTCATGTGCTCTCTCTCTCTCTCTCTCATTCTCTCTCTCTCAAATAAATAAAATCTTAAAAAAAAAAAGAAGAAGAGGAAGACCACCATTCCATTCCCTTCCATCTCTTCACAACCATTGCATGAGTTAATAGTGCCTTTAATCCTCTTTGATATTTGGACTTTTCAGAGAGGACACTTATTTTCAAAAATTATTAAGTGAAACTGAAGTCCTCACACAAAGTAAAATGAGAAAATTTAGATAATTTGGGAACAGATATTTTTGAGTAAAAGGGGCCATTATTTTTTTTTAAGATTTATTTATTTATTAGAGAAAGACAGCAAACGTGGGGAGGGGGAGGCAGAGGGAGAAACTTTATCAGACTCCCCACTGTGCTTGGAGCCCAACATGGGGCTTGATCTCATGACCCTGAGACCATGACCTGAGCCAAAACCAAGAGTCAGACACTCAACCGACTGCGCCACCCAGGGGTCCCCAAAGGGGCCATTATTATAAGAGTTTCTTTCTCTATAGTATCCCTATCTTTTCTTTAATAACTTATCTTTATCCAATGGTGAATCTATAATGATTTAAAAGTTCTAAATTTTCCTACAATAGCCCCCAAAATTACACTAACCTCTCCAGTGGGGAAAGGACATTGAGTACAGAGAAAGCGTGTTTTACTGTTTTACTGTGTGTCTTAATTCGGCAGGGGCCAGGGAGAGGGATATACGACAAGTCAAGAATTCCCAGCAGCAGTTCAGGTGTTTAAGGCAGCTGGGAGACTTGAGATTAGTGAATTATATAAGCAGGTAAAAACATACACTGATATAATCTTTTCCTTTTCCCAGTATTTACCATTAAAATAGATGGAGTTTTAGTTTTAGTTTTCTTTACACAATTCTCATGAGAGAAGGCAATAAAAGATTTATTTTTTTCTCTTCAAAGATTTTATTTTTAAGTAAATCTCTAAGCCCAACAATGGACTTGAGCTCACAACCCCGAGACCAAGAGTCACATGCTCTACCGACTGAGCCAGCCAGGTGCCCTGACAATAAAGGATTTCTAACAAGTACATTTCAGTGACTTGAGATTCAGTAGTGTGAAGGAAACTACCTCTACCCATATCGCAGGCGATCAACAATTCTGGCCTTCATTCAACCCAGAATAGAATGAGTAAGTGACTTCATACAACATATTTCCTATATAACAATAAAGTGTAGGTGACAAGCACATTTCTAGGTTCCAGTGTAAACAAACACCTTTGATCTAAGATGAAAATCAAACTAAGCTCTCAAAACTCTTTAACTGATCATATTCGGTCATATTCAAATATTAAAAAACAAGTATTTTTATTTTAAACATTTTATTTTAAACATTTATTTTGAACATTTTAAAATAGAATGTTCATGTGAATAATTCCTTAAAAAAATAAGCACAAACAGATCCTAAGTATCACTGCCCAAAGGCAATGCAACTGCAAAAGTGACTGACATCAATGCAGCTGTCCCCCCCTACTTATAATCCTCTAACTCTTGAGGTAGAAAAAATGTAGATTCTTGAGTAGAGTAACAGCCTGTTACTGTACCACTCCAACCCCTGCCCTAGCACTGCAGTGAGAATTAAAGATCCATTTTAGAGAAGCCATTGGTTTTGTGTCCTTACTGGTCAGGCGGTATAAAAGAAGTGGCTAAGAATATGGGTTTTAGAGATAAAATTCTTAGTTTCAAATACCCATTCTACCAGTCACCAGTTTCTCAAATTATCTGTGGCATGGCTTCCTTATAAAATGAGGCTAATAACAATAATCTCTTCCTCATAGGGTTGTTGTGAGAACCAAGTAAGTTCATGTGTGTAAAGCGCTTACTATGTTTAATGTGTCTAGAGAGGTTCGTGGCACACAGTAAACAATCAAGTTTATAGTTCACACCTATGCATGAAACTATGCTAAAACCCTATATAATAACACATTGAGAAATAATCAGGTAAAAGGAAAGCACTCACAAGGTCACTATATCCGCATTGGCTGCTTCCACAGCAATGGTCAAAGGGTCTTTCCCTTCTTCATCAGTGGCGTGTTGATTGGCACCTCGTTTTAGAAATAAACATACCTGCCTGTTTCAGAAAACAGCATTTTTGAGACATTGCCAATGAGAAAAAAAAAATAGTATTCACCTTAAAAAAATAAAAAGCACTACCTAAAGAAATAACATTTTCACTAGGAAATTCTTGACTCATTCTACAGCTATTTATTGAACATTGGCTCTAATAACAAAAATTTACCATGATCACCATTTTACAAATCTCCAGATGTTTTTACATTTAACTTGGTGCTATGCAGCAAGATGGAATGTATAATTATGGTCCCTACCCTCAAATAATATCAGAAAAAGATGTACATATATATCCATAAACTTAAAACAGAAATCACTCAAGGTCATTATTTGCAAAAGAAGGAAGCCAAGGCAATGTTAACATATCAACGATAATTCAACAGCAAAGAGTAGAAGGTAATCCTCCCTCTGGACTCCACAAATATTCATAACTGGAAGAAACTGACAAAAATGAAAAAATATGATAGGATGAATAAATGGAGTCTATGAAGTAAAATGGGAAGAGTGGCTGTTTAAGAATACAAAAATAAAATATGAACATTTTTAAGTATACAGAAGTTTTTATGATGAAGTTATTGAACTCAGTCTCTGCTCACAGACAAAAGTAAGCTATGATAAAAGTAGAAAATCCTTTAAAAAAATAGAAGATGCTTTAAATACACTTAAAAAGGGACAGCGTCTTGCTTGTTGGGATAATAAGAATTGGATATCCGGAGATATTTTATTTAAAAACAATCACCTATGACACAAACTTTTCATTTAAGGTCAACATTTTGACTTCATCTGCACCTTTTATTAGAAAATCCATTTTCATGACTTTATTGTTCTGTGCGTCTAACTATCGCTTCAGACACCTCTACAGCAATAGCACAGACTAAGAATTTACTTTAAAATTGGACTTTAGCTACCCTGTGGGAAAACTCAAATGTCCAAAATTACAAAACTCTCCCCAAATGTGTGTGCTATGCATGTAATGTATGTGAACATGCATAAATAAACACAGATTTAGTTGCTGAAAAAAAAACCCATAATTTCAGTAAAAGTTTTAAAGACTAAAACTGATCTATATAAATGGCAAGTAAAGTTCAAAATAGGCTTTGCAACTTTCTTATCTGAAAAGTAACAATAGCTTTTTTCTGCATGAGATTTTTAAAATTTCAAATTCTATCACGACAATAGAAGTCATAGGAAAGTATCATTTTATAAACTCTACCCAATGGGCCTTCACCTGAGAAAAAGCAAAACATTATTCCAAAATAATTTTTCAAATAAAATCTACTTAAATATGTAAGCACGACAGTTTACCCTGTATGTCCCAAGACAGTGGCATGGTGCAGAGGGCCCCGCCCCTGCACATCTCTCTGGTTCACGTTAGCACCATTCTGTAGAAGAAACTCGCAGGTCACCAAAGAACCCTTAAAGGAAAACAGAAGGATAACAATGTATGAAGAGCAAACAATAATATATTCCTATTAAAAACCGGTATTTACTCTGATAGCCTTTCTGTTTCCTTTTTCCCAAAAGAGAAACTACCCCCCAGTAAAAGCAGAAAAATGATAAGTTACATTATTTTCTTCCCAAGAATGACTTCAATAGGGATTCAATTTGCAGTCTGTGATGTAGCAAAAGACACTACACATTCATCACCAGAATTCTCTTCCACTGAGGAAAAAAAAACTGAACTTACATAATCAAAGTGGTGCTCAGAACTCACTACCAGCTTTTTCTTCTACTTTCCAACCCATCTCTTAAAGCAAAAAATAATGCTGAAGCTATGTTCACAACGAATTATAATTTTTCATGTTTTACAATGTATGGATTCATACCCCTAATACAGCCTGAATAAGTGGTGTTGCTTTATTTTCCTCTGAATTAGCCCAGTTCACATCTGCACCATGAGCCAAAGCCTCAGCCATTTTAGGAAGATTTTTTTCATATGAAGCCCTATAAAGCTGGAGTCCTGGGTTAAGATGTTTAGAGTCGAGAAACACAGAAGAATCTTGCCTTTCTCCCTCTGAAAAGCAAACACAAATACGTCAATAAAAATGAGCAGGGCGGGCGAGAATGGGAAGTCCTCGTTTCTCAGGTACAGGGTTTCAGTCGCGTAAGACGAAGAGAGCTCTGTGGCTGGACAGTGGTGACAGCAGCATGAGGGCCACTGCCACGCAACTCTCCATTTAAAAATGGGGAGGATGGTAAATTTTGTTATGTACATCTTACCACAATCTAAAAAATAAAACTGAATTCCTACAATGTACCACAATGTAAAAGATGTAAAAGAAACCTCTAATTTAACAAAACGAGCGAATGGGAGATTTTCACAAAAATATGTTATTTCCAACAGACTGATCACTTCCCAAACAGTCAAACTTCTTCTCTCATAAAGACATTGATTGGTATGCTAGACTTTTGTGGTCCTGCCAGGATTCAATGGGAAGTTAATTACTCTGTACTAGATTAAAATTAGGTATATTCCTATAAAAGCCTGGATTTAAGGACTCACAAAGGCTGGTAAAAAAATTCCTAAAGAATTTTACTACTAGACCAAGCCTTACTTTATTCCTAGGATGGTCTAATACCACCACAATTTACAGTACAAGCAATTCAAGTAATTCAAAAAAATGCTCACTACCCTGGGTATTCTGCAAGATCAAAATCATGGAACTCAAGAAGGAGAGAATGTAGGAAGAAAGCACAGGTCAGAAAAAAATACAATGGAGAGGGAGTGGCTAATCTCTTTCTCCTGATAAAACGGCCATAAAAAAAGATAAAGAGTAATAAAACGTAGTTCATGTGGATTAGAAAGCGTCCTTAGTGACTGACTAGGCACTTCCAGCACATATCACGAGGCCTAGAAGAATGTACAGCTACAAGAGAACTTCTAAATATGGAAAGAAATAGCTGCTTTCTCATTTGACAGCACCTTCTAAAAGGCTAACCACTTTCTTCAGAAATTATTTAATCAAGACTAAGCACAAAGCACATGCATTTTTCAGCAAACAATACCAATTCACATTGAATTTCACCAAAACTCACCAGGCTCATATAAACTATTGGCAGACACTGTGGAGGGTAAAGATTCTCTTCCATCATCAGAGCTCTGCTGGATTCCACTATCATTACTTTTGACTGTTTTAAAGAAAAATCAGCTAGTGATTAAAGTTCATGCCATTCAGAAAACAATCTACCACAAACAAGAAGGTTTTAAAATGAGCTCTGATATGTCAACATGAACTTGGCCACTACCACAATACATTTAATAAACTTTAATCCTTTCGAACATTTAGCTTATCAAAATATGAATCAATCACAAAGCCTGAAAATAAACTTATCTTCAGAGTCGCAACACATCTCTTTACCCCATAATATGTCAGGTGTGGTGAAGAGCTTAATTTATTGTATGACTGCCAGTAATGTGTAATTCTGAGACAATGGGTAACATCTAGAGAAATGGCCACACTGCACAATGACCACTGGCACAGACTTGGAATGCTGCACAAGAGTAGTACTTACTACTACGTAGTTTTGAAGAAGTATCAAAGTAGGAGAAGAGTGAATCTAGCTCATCAGGACAGAACAGAGACTCCCGCCTGGCCTCGTCGCTATTTACAGCAACCACTGGGGACATGCAAGTTAGCAAAGCACAAAGCAGGCCATAAGAATGGAAAAGGGCAGGAAAAAAACGTTACTGGGAAAAATTTAGGAGGAAAAAAATAGGAAGGATATTAGGTGGTTAATCAGATATTTAGGGCTTGTTGCCATGATAGATTTATAATTCCCATCTCCCCCTGCACCCTTAAACAGTTTTATTCCTTAGAATATACGCATTACCTAGAAATGTGAATTACCAAGACGCTATTGCATTTTAACTTTTTTAAAGCCATAGAAATCCAATTTTTCCTTAGAATATGTAGAAGGAAACAGGTTTTTAGCATTTAAATAATCTACAATGGCTACTAATTCAGAGATTAAGAAAGTGACTTCAGCTTAAGAAAATATTTCTATATACAACAAGTAAGCTATAATACCTGAACTTTGGGGAGGTACTCTGACTTGGTCACTGGGCCCAAGTTTAGAAATGCTCAGCCTCTTTTCTTCACAACTTTTGGAGATCATCCTTTTTTCCTGCTCAGAAGGTGATGATGATATAGAATATTTATCCACAAATTTCCTCTCCACATATTTTGCTTTGATATATGCCTCTTTCTCCTGTCTGGTATACATAAAAATGTCATGATGTTCTGCTTAATCTCTTAATATGGCTAATACTGAAAAGAAGCCATTACATACCAAATATTTCCTAAAAAGTCACTAAATGTATTACTAGTTAAAACTAAATTTGTGATATTATGCAACATATTTCCCTTCCAAATATTTAATAAACTATGATCTCATGTTCAAATAAAATACAAGTAATAAACTAACTGAAAAATCACAAGTATTAACATGGCACTCTCTTCTCTTAATTTCTGGGCTCATTCATTTCTTTACATATTCCCTTGTGCTTTTTTTTTTCCCCCTTGTGCTTTTTACAAAATGGAAAACATTACCAAGAAAACTATAAAAATTTACAGAAATTAACTTTAATTTCATTTTACTCCAATAGATAACATCAATAGATGAACTATCACTATTGTCAGTCATTCCTAAGACAACTACTTTAAAACAACATAGCACTCCTAATTAAAGCGGAAGAAAAAATGTCACATTTTAAACTTTTCTGATACAATCATAAAATGCCAAGTCTGTTCTATGCTTTTCCTTACTTATATCCTTTTAAAATAGTTAAATCTTTGGCTAAAATAGAAAGATATTTCAAGGTCTGAAATAACTTGGCCATGCTTTAGCAAATAATCTCACTTAAGTGATACTAGTTCAGACAGCAATAACTTTAAAATAATATTGATTATACATAGGGGCACCTGGGTAGCTCAGTCAAACATCTGCCTTTGGCTCAGGTCATGATCCTGGGGTCTGGTGTCAGGCTTCCTGCTCAGAGGGGAGCCTGCTTCTCCCTCTCCCTCTGCCCCACCCCTTGCTTGTGCTTGCTCGCTCGCTCTCTCTCTCTCTCTCAAATAAAATCTTTAAAAAAAATATTGATTATACATAAAGATTTAGTCGAACATAAAATCCCAACACAGGATTATGGCAAATAAAATTTTAATGCTAAAAATAATCATAAAGACTAAAAGCAACATCAACAATAAAAACTAATTTTGTACCTTGAGGGCACTCCTAGCCACTTCATTCAATGAGCCTCTATATATAGAATTGGAAGTATAATTTCAAACACAGCAATTAAGTACTCTCCCCTACCAGTAGCTACCCTTTCACCTTTAATTCTTTAACATCATAATGCCATGTATAAAGTACATGATTAACAAATATATATACATATACACATTTTTTTTTTTTTTGAGAGAGAGAGAGAGAGAGAGAGCACAAGCATGGGGGGAACGGGGGTAGAGCGAGAGGAAGAGAATCTTTAGCAGGCTCCATGCCCAGTGCGGAGCCAGAAGCAGGGCTCTATCCCCAACCCCCGAGACCATGACATGAGCTGAAATCAAGAGTTGGACACTCAACCGACTGAGCCACCCAGGAACCCCTTAACAGATATTTATTGAAGTCAAACAATGTAAAACTATTCATTCATTGTTGATAATAGAAACTTGATCCTTAGAGACATTAATGAACAGATTACCTCTTTATAAAGGCCTGCCAATAACAGAATTGGTCTACTTTAACTGCTAAGAGCTTTTACATTCTATGTAGACTTTTAATATTTAAGATTCTCATCTGGAGCCTAGAGTTGATTATCTAATCAATAAAAAATAATTATCTAATACTTACCCAAGAAAGAGACAGACATATTTTAACAGTATCTTCTAAACAGTCTGTCTCAATATTACATATCAAATATAGTGAAATAAAATCTTAGCTATATTCCTGCTTATGAAAAAAAAAGTAATACATGGAGACAACTGAAATAGTACCTTTGTCCTGGTTGTGGTTTCTTTATTCCCATTTTTTCCACTTTAGCTTCATAAACTCGATTTATAACATCATTTCCCAACTCACACATAAGCTGTTTTGGCAGGAAAATAGAAAAATAAGCTACAAATTCCTAAAAATACTATAAAAGTCCTTAAAGCACACACAATTAACTCATTCCTTTTGCATATTCTGCCAATGCTCATCCCACAAAGACATTTAAAGTTAAAACAAATTAAGAAAAGGAGTAAGAGCAATATCATCATTTTGCCTAGAAGACTACCACTCTTACAAGAAAGGGTTTCTCCTAACTCACCTTCCCTCAACTATGGCTAGCACAATGCTGCATACTATTCACAATGCTTGGTAAATTAAATGAAAAAAGACCAAACTGGTTAAGTTTTAAAATAGAAGTAAACTATTTTCTCCTTATATTTTATATGAGTTTCAAAGTATTTTGTTTAACACTTGTGGTTATATTTTTTAATGTACCAGACAACTGTATTTCAACCAAATTTTAAAAATTGAATCTATTAAGTTCAGAGCTACAAAAGTGATGCCGAAAAATTAGATTTCTACCTCTCATCCTCCACTTTCTTCTCCTTTGAATTCATAACAATTAATAGGATCTATCTAAATAGTGCTCTACCTTAGGAACCAATTTATCACTTTCATCCAGATGTTTACACAATAATTCCACAAAGCAAATGTTTTACTTTACATAAGTGAGAGGATTACTAGTTTATCTATGGATTGAAATAAAAATACAAGCACATTAACACAATTTCACACAGAAATAAATGCAGAGTAAACTACAATCTTTAAACTAATATATATATATATATATATATATATTTTTTTTTTACAAATATGGTAAACTAAATGGTGGGAATTAAAAGGAATATATTGTTTACCAATATGAGTTTTATAAATCTTACCAGAACCCGAATAGTGGTCTAAAATGATTTATGACATTTTCATAGATATGAATCCTTGCACAACTTACACAAGGCGAAAGGATGTCTTAGTTTGATGACTACTACCTTGAGAAATGTAAATCTGCAAATGGTCCTATGCTAAAATGGCCCAATGATAACAACACACTATACCAATCCATTTGGGAGCACACTAATATGTCTGTTATTCTTTTAACAAAAATTTATATAATTATAAAAGACTAAAATTAAGGCACAGAATTGAAGGTTTTTTTGAGAAAACATAAAAATGTAGGAAAGCTGTTTTCCTTAAAAGGTGAAGTGACTTGCAACTAAAAGTGCTGCATAAACTTAATTAAAAAAACCCAATTATGAAAATATCAGATTTGCCAAAATAGCCTCAGATGTGTGCCAGTAAAATTCAGTTTATTGTTAGCATTGAGAAACTCATACATTTTTTAAATCAAGATTCTAAAATCCTGATCTTTTATGTGAAAATCGGAAACATTTTTAAGCAAGTATGTATTTTACCTTTAAAAGTTCAGGCTCCCAGGTGTCTAAAGTTAAAGATCGTACTTTTGAAAAATGAACTCCAAGACTCCTAGAGGGAAAAAAAGACTATATTAATATAGAAAGCCATCAAGTCTCTATTTGCATATTATGCAAATTACTTCTCTTTTAATGAGACAAAGTTGCTAATACAGCCCTCAACATGTATGTAAATAAGTAGAGCTCTTCTGGCTAATAATAAATAGTAAAACAAAGTCCTCTAAGGCACTCCACAAACCAGAATTTTATTCAGTCTACAGAAGTTATAAAGATACAAATGGCAGTCACATTAAGGCAAGTGGAAAAGGCCCTGTAAGCAACGGGACACGATAATTTACTATGTGTATTCACCCCAGAGAAGTGTCCCACCTGGCGCAGGCCTACCCACCGGTGAATCCCAGAACACTCGATACACAGGGTGATGCCCAGGTTGATGCTGGCCCACCGTGGATCCGCCAGACCACAGTCACAGCAGCTAGCATTGCCAGGAATACACTGGACTCGCTGCAGTGCACTTTCTCCTTTCAATAATTTATCTTTTGACTCATTTCCAGAATCCAGGCTTCCTGTGGATGGAGATGATTTCTTATCCAGCTTCTAAAAGAATTAAGAATTATTTGTTTAAAAAAAAAAAAAAGATTGCAATACTATGCTACACATTACCTGCTCCAAAACAAAGCTTCCAATCAATAAATTAAAGGCTTATTACAGGCCTAAGCCAGGTACTCTTCTAGGCATTACAGATTCAAGGATAAAAAGAAATAAGTTCCTCCATCAATTGGCATTTAGTCTTGTCAGAAGAAACATAAACATTGGAAATGATATATTATTTATCTAAATAAATAAATATTTACATTTAATTTATATGTATATATATAAAATAAATGACACACTGAACACATGTACAAGATATGAGGGTGAAGAGAAAGGGAAACACTTATTTAACATGCAAGATCAGAGATAGATAGAATAAACATGAGACTATTAAGACTCAAGAATAAAATTATTATTATATACCAAGTTTTTCCGAAGTATCCAATGAACTGCAAGCAAGTTGTTTTGATTACTGCAGTGAATAACTGGAAATGGTATGGCTTTTTACTAAAGAAAAAATCAATTACATAATTATAATTATATTCCCAGCAAGGGAAGTGAAAGACTGAGGAGGGAGAAGAAAGCACTAGTGTGAGGTGCTAGAGCCTGATGAGGGGCAATAGGCAGAAAGGAAGGTTGTTGGTTACATACAGGGGGACTGATCATATAAGTAAACATGTTAAAAATAAAAGGGAGCCATTTATTCATATGGAAAGGAGAGAATTAGAACAAACCCTGTTGTGTGTGCTTACAACTGGAGATATAAGAGGCACACTAATGGTTTTCAATATAAACAGATATATAAAGAAATATAGGGGCACCTGGGTGGCTCAGTTGGTTAAGCAACTGCCTTCGGCTCAGGTCATGATCCTGGAGTCCCGGGATCGAGTCCCACATGGGGCTCCCTGCTCAGCAGGGAGTCTGCTTCTCCCTCTGACCCTCTTCCCTTTCGTGCTTTCTATCTCTCATTCTCTCTCTCTCAAATAATAAATAAAATCTTTAAAAAAAAAAAAAAGAAATATAGCTGTAAACATGTCTATGTGTATATACATACATATATTCCTTTATCATGGTTTCTAAAAGCCATTCACCAGCAAAAGGAACTAGGGCTCTTCGGAGAAACTGCTGATTTTAGCACTGGTACAGAGAAAGTGCAAGATGAACCTGGAACACCTCATCATGCTAGAAAGTTAGGAGGAACTCAGATTGATGGGAACATGTCAAAAGGATACAGAAGCCGGGGTTCCACTGGCCAAATTTGGATCAATTTTTTTAAAGAATTTATTTATTTATTTATTTATTTATTTGAGAATGAGAGAGAGAGAGAGTGAGAGAGAGAACACATGAGCATGGGGGGGAGAGTCAGAGAGAGAGGGAGAAACAGACTCCCCACTGAGCAAGGAGCCCAATGTGGGACTCAATCCCAGGACCCTGGGATCATGGCCTGAGCCAGAGGCAGACGCTTAACTGACTGAGCCACCCAGATGCCCAAACTTGGGTCAATTTGAACAGCAAAACAAATAATCATAGTAATGGATTATAACACACTGAAAAAAGTAGTGACCTATACTGACATAATTAAATAACATTTAAAGCCTGACGAGGAACAGAATATTCACATAGTCCCAAAGTACCTCCCCTACAAAATACTTATTATCTACAAAAGGAATATTATAGTAAAGAAGTCTAGCAAACACCACCTTAATCAAGTGATCATAGTGAACATCACCAATAATGGGACAAAGTTATGTACCACCTGAATATGCACTGAGAAGAACACAGCATCATTCATATAACCTACCTGCCAAAGATGCATAACCTTGCAAGTAAACATCAAACCTACACTGAAGGACATTTTACAAAATAACTCGTTTGTTTTCTTCAAAACTATCAAGGTCAAGAAGGTCAGAGTAAGACTGAGGGACTATTCCTGAGGGAAGGAAACTGAAGAGCCATGACATCTAATGTTACCTGTACTTCTGGACTGGACCTTTAGGCTATAAAGAACATACTGGGGCAGTTGTTAAACTTAAAGATGTTTGGGAACTAAACTGTAGCCATATATCAATGCTCATTTCCTGATTATGATGGCAGTACCGTGGTTTTATAAGAGAAATGTCCTAGGGTGTGGGAAGTTAACACTAAAACAATGGGTGATAGGGCATCATGTTAGAAACCTACTCTGAAATAGTTTGGGGGGGTTATTTGTACAATACTTGGAACTTGTCTATAAGTTTGAAATGATTTCAAAATTTTTAAAAATGTTTTACTAAAACATGCTCAATAATGTGAATTACCTCATAAGCAATTACCAGATAGGAAAAAGATGTCAATACAATAATCTTGTTGGTTCATTCCCAGTTTATAGAAACTAATGTTTTTGTACCAAATCAGAGAAGCTGAAAGCAAAGTATACTACACAGCAGAACCTGGGTTCAAGAACAAAGGAATCCCCTCCATTCTTTTTGGCTCATTTTGGCCATGTGCTTGTACTCAAAAGTGTGTACTGCATTCATTCTCTCTGATCTTTATATGTTTTGCCTTTGTCATCATAACTGAGTAGCCTCAACCCTTCTGTACCCTTCCATTATGCAATCTTCGTCAATTTTTAAAGTTAATTCTTATCATACTGTAGTATTCATTTATTACAAATTTAACTGTTCTAGTAGTTTTACTAAAGTTCCTGCAAGTATTCTAGTTACAAACTTACACAGATTTTTAGGGCAGCCCTATCCCTATTTTTCCTATAATCTCTATTATTTCTCGTGTATGGCTTTTCATAACAGGTATTTCAGCAATGCCACCAGCTTCTTCATCAAGATGATCTGGATACACACCTAATTTTTGTTCCCTCACAAAACTTTGCCAAAAAACAGAAAAAAATTATTAAAAGGCATTATCCTGAGCTTTTATTGGACAAAGCTGTAATAATCTGAACATCAAAAAAAAAAAAATACTGATGTTGAGTATCTTTTCATGTGTCTGTTGGCCATCCATATGTCTTCTTCGGAAAAATGTCTATTCAGGTCCTCTGCCCATTTTTAATCAGATCATTTGTGGGGGGTTTTGGTGTTGAGTTGTATAAGTTCTTTATATTTTTTAGATCTTAACCCCTTATTGGATATATCATTTACAAATAGCTTCTCCCATTCAGTAGGCTGCCTTTCTATTTTATTGATGGTTTCCTTCACTGTGCAAAAGCTTTTTATTTTGATGTAGTCCCAGTAGTTTCTGCTTTTCTTTTCCTTGCCTTAGGAGATGAGATATATCTAGAAAAATGCTGCTACGGCCAATGTCAAAGATATTGGTGCTTATGTTCTCTTTTAGAAGTTTTATGATTTCAGGTCTTACATTTAGGTCTTTAATCCATTTTAAGTTTATTTATGTGTATGGTGCTAGAAAGTGGTCCAGAAAAAAATTCTTTCTGCATGTAGCTGTCCAGTTTTCCCAATGCCATTTATTGAAGAGACTGCTTTTTCCCCATTGTATATTCTTGCCTCCTTTGTCATAGATTAACTGACCATATAAGTGTAGGTTTATCTCTAGGCTCTGTATTCTGTTCCATTGATGTTTGGTCTATTTTTGTGCCAGTACCATACAGCTTTGTAGTATATCTTGAAATCTGGAATTGTGATACCTCCAGCTGTGTTCTTCTTTCACAAGATTGCTTTGGTTATTTAGGATCTTTTATGGTTCCATACAAATTTTAGCATTATTTGTTCTAGTTCCATGAAAAATGTTGTTGGCATTTTGCCAGGGATTGTACTAAATCTGTAGATTGCTTTGGGTATTATGAACATTTTAACAATATTAATTCTTCCAATCCATGAGCATGAAATATTTTTCCATTTGTTTGTGTTCTCTTCAATTTATTTCATCAGTATTTTATAGCTTTCAGAGTACAGGTCTTTTACCTTCTTGGTTAAGTTTATTCCTGGGTATTTTATTCTTTTTTGGTACAATTGTAAATGAAACTGTTTTCTTAATTTCTCTTTCTGCTACTTCATTATTAGTATATAGAAATGCAACCAATTTCTGGGTATTAGCTTTGTATCCTCCAACTTTACTGAATTCATCTGTTACTTCTAATAGGTTTTTGGTGACATCTTTAGGGCTTTCTATGTATAGTATCACATCATCTGCAAAGAGTGACAGTTTAAATTCTTCCTTACCAATATGGATGCCTCATCAGGGAAATGCAAATCAAAACCACAATGAGGTATCACCTTACACCTGTCAGAATGGCTAAAATAAAAAAGACAAGAAATAACAAGTGTTGGTGAGGATGTGGAGAAAAAAGAACGCCTGTGCATGGTTGCTGGGAATGTAAATTAGTGCAGCTACTGTGAAAAACAGTATGGAGGTTCCTAAAAAAATTAAAATAGAAATACTATATGATCTAATAATTCCACTACCGGGTATTTACCCCAAAGAAAATGAAAACGTTAATTCAAAAAGATATATGCAGCCCTATGTTTACTGTAGCATTATTTACAACAGCCAAGATATGGAAGCAACCCAAGGATTCATCAATAGATCAATATTCATCAACAGCTTCACACAGAAGCCTGACAGCATTAGCAATGAATGACTGGATAACCAAGTATTCTGTGTCTCCTGTTGCAATGTGAAGTATACATATCACCTATGATGTAACTGTATCAGCTGAAATTCTATAGAACAATTAACCTTATCTCTTCAGTAAGTTATTGTCATGAAAAAAAGGCCTTGTTCTAGACTGACAGACTTGAGGGACAACCAGATGCAATGCCCAGTCATAGATAAGATGCTACTTTGTAAATAGGTTGCAGAAGACATTTTTAGGACAACTGGGGTCCTCTGAATATAGACTGGGTAATAGACGATATTAAGAAATTACTATTAGGCATGAAATGAGATAATGGCTGTACTCTAGAAAGCTTTTGTGTTTTTTCTTTTTTTAGTTAAAAAAAAAAAAGACATTTACCCACTAAAATAGGGAGAACAGAAGAGCAAATAACAGCAACAAAATTCTGAAAGCTGGAAGACGGTTGGATGAATAGTAACTGAGCAGACCAAGGCCAAATCTTACAATGATAGTAAGTAAAAATCTGAGTTCATGAATTTATATTACATGATACTCAAAGGGCTCAAGGATTTATACCAGTTAACCGTGAAGTGGGAATCAAAGTGGGAGAAATGACTGTGTAAGGAGCAGGTAGATCCCAAGGTGCCTTCCCCAACTCCATGCCATTTTGGGACTGCTCCCACACATTAACACAAAAAACGAGAATTTTATTTTATTCTCTGAGGAAGTAAAAGAGAGAGTCTCTGGATGGGATTTACCTGAAAGGTGGAAGGCAGAAGATTAAATGAACATATACACATTGAATACTGAGATCCCTAGCAACTAGTTCCCAGCAGCCCCTTACTCCTCTGCAGGAGATTGATGGGACTTCTCTGGGAAATCAGACCAGCTGAAAAGATTCCAAAGATCCTAACTCTATGGTTGTTCCTCAACAAATGGCCCAGACTTCAGAGAGGCTCATGATCAACAAAGTCCTAACTATGTGTAGAGTGTCCAAAGAGATTTTTAGTCCTTAACTTGTAATCAGAACAGATTACCAGATAGCCAAGAAAAACCTCTGACACAATAGTTCTCAACATTGCCTGTATATGGAAATCACCTAGGAAGCTTTTCAAAATATTGATGTCTGGATCCCAACTTCATTTAATTACTCTGAGGTGGGACCTACGTATTGGGATTTTTTTTTTAAATCCCTGTGTTATCATCACAGGCAGCCAAGTTTAAAAACCATAGCTTTAACACTGTATCCAAGAAGAAAGAAAGGGTTTACATGTATAAACATTCAGCAAACAAAAAGAAACTCCTGGAAATTTAATATGTGCTAACAGAACTAAAGTATTCAATAGAATGCTTGGGAGATTAACTGAGAAAATCTCCCAGAAAGTAGAGCAAAAACACAAAAAATCAGAAAATCAGTCCAGAAATTCCAGAAAAAGAAAACAGGAAAATTGGAGAGGAGCAATACAAAAAAAGATCAGTAATAAGAAAGACTCCCAACAGCAATGCTGGAAATTAAACAATGCTGTTAAAATTCTTAAGAATAGTTACTTCCAACCTAAAAACTCCACACCCAACCAAACTATCAAACAAAGGTGAGGATAAAATAAAGATATTTTCAAACATGCACAGACTCACAAATGCCTCATTTTGAAGAAGTTACTAGAGGAATTGTTAAGTTCCATTTCTCAAAAGTTACTAAGGGCCTTGCTCAAAAGTCTAAAATCACTGGGAAGCTGAAGCCAGACTATGACTCAACACTCCACATTCAGCTTAACTTATCCAGGGAGACTTCAAACCAGAGACAATTTGAGCTTTCCTTTTTTGATTTTTACTAATTATTAATCTTTTATGTTTTACTAATTTTTCTTAATAAGAATAATAAAATATTTTGGGAAAAATATTTACGTTAGAATACGTTATGTCAATCTAGGACATATATTCAAATACTGAATTAAACATATATTAAAATGATAAAGTAAAAAGAAATAAAGAAATTGAATCTAGATTTTCACAGTAAAACCTCTTTGAATTATAAAATTCATCATCCATAAAAAATGTTATAATCATATAATGTTACAACTAAAATTAAAAACTTTTGGCAACGTATCATTTCATATTACAATACTGTTTACTAACCTCTGATTCATCACCCTTCTCTCTATAAGCAGTAGCAATACTGGTCTGAACAGCCTTAATCCATGCCTGGCGCAGCTTTTCAGAATCTGCCTGAAGCATACAACTTCTAAAAGAAAACAACATTGTTTTCTCAGACACTAAGTTACCACCCCCCAAATAATAATGTTTCTTTGCTATTTAATAATTTTCTAACAAAAAGTAATTTCTTTTGAAAGGTTTTATTTCATCTATCTTTAGGACAGAGTATGTTCATGAAGAAATCAATAGAAATGAAATAAATTGCCTATTAGAAAAAATCACAGATCCCTTAACATTTAAAAAACAAACTTTAAATTTGCCAAATACAACACTAATTTTTTCTATTGGGTAGAAATATGAAATGATAATTATCAAAGGAATTGATCTGATATATGATGTCAGTTCATCATCAAGACAGGTAAAAACTTTCCATATGGCCACATCAATAATCTTTATGGAATTTAAAGAAAATGATACTGGGTAGAAGTTACTTAAATATCTCACAGTAATACTTGTAATCATTAATTATTAAAATTTACTTTTAAAGCACTTTTTTTCCTTTCTACCATAATCACAAGTAAAACACCAATGTTTCTCTACTCTGAAAAGGTCTTCAAAATAAACAACAGAAACTTAAAAGCAACTCTCATTCTTTAGAACCACTTACTTTGTTGGAGAGACTACCTCAAAGCAGAAACGTCGTTCTATGTCTTCACAGTGTTTCACTGTGCAGAGCCTTAGATCTTCCACTACCACAGTGGGGTTATCCTACAATAAGGAAACACAACTCCCATGTTTATCAACTTAGTTTTTAAATACTACTACCAATACCAATAATAACATACTTTAAAATATTACTTGTAATAAATGGTCTAATTTTAAAGATTTATATTTATCTTATTTAGGATTAGAGATAGGAGTTATCAACTCCTATATAGATATAATTAATAAAGGTAACTGTGTCCTGTTCATAATTTTATCTGTCTCATAAAATTGCTATACAAGGATTAAGTGGAAGTATATGTAAAGAGCTTAGTCTAACACTTGGTAATTAATTAATAGGTGCTCAGTAAATGTTAGCTTCCTAACTTTCATTTTCTTCCATTTTCTTTCATATCCATTACTCTCCTGGTCCCCCCTCACATATAATAAAAGCTACTTTCCTCTAAAAAAGAAGCCTGTAACAGTCAAGTCTTTCAAGTAACTGGAAAAAAAAAATAAGAAGCTTATACATTCTTCTTAAAATACTTAAGAAAATGAGAAAGCTTCTATCATTTTTCTTGTACTTAACAAAAATATAAACTGAAAACCAAGTTTATCAGAGCAGAAGAAACCATGAACTTCTGTGGAATAAGCCTGCTCGCACAGAACCAAGCAAATAAAACTTCAGACTGTGTATCTCAAGAGTAAAGTGAGTATTTAAAATGGACAGCTGAGGGACACCTGGGTGGCTGAGTGGGTTAAGCGTCTGCCTTCGGCTCAACTCAGGTCCTGATCGGGCTCCCTGCTCAGCAGAAAGCCTGCTTCTCCCTTTCCTCCTAGTTCCTGCTCTCTCATTATCTCTATCGCCATCTTTGTCTCTCTCTCTCTCAAATAAATAAAAAAAAATCTTTAAAAAAATAATAAAATAAAAAATAATTAAATGTACAGTTGAATACATCATTCACAAAGACTGACTAGGTAAAAATTAATTCATCTATTAACTAAAGGTTTTTTTCCCTAATTATTTTTAACACTCTCAAGTGCCATGTAATCTCAGTATGCCTTTCTGATAAATAAAAATTCCTCAACCTTAAAATAAGGTTCAGGAAAAGAAATGTATAAAAACAACATTAACAAATTTAGAGGTTTCTATTTAAATTACTTCAAGCTTACATTTTAATTTCATATTTCACATTTCCATATTATCACCTTTGGCCCTAAGGTGACGTTTCTTAAAAGGCACCCCTTCCTTCAGCCTCAAAATAGTACTATGGAATGGTGGTATTGCTCCTTCAACCACAGCGGGTCGAAGAAATGAAAGTAATAATCCTGGGACACAGAAACACCTGTCTCAAAACTAGGAGTCAGGAATTCAAGATTCAAAATCACTCTGCTTAAATTTTAAGGATCAAAAGTTAATACTTTCCACTTTTGAGTCCTCTTATACATGCCTAAACATAAAACTAATAAACAATAATTTTGCATATATGACTATTTAAAGACTTCATTGCTTTATCAAGATTAACAGAGAACTGAAATGGGGGACTCACTGGGTTTCCACTTAATTAATAAGACACCTACCTTAAACTTTTTCTGGTAAACCAATTGATTGTTCTGTATTGAAAACCAGCGTCTAAGTAAATAAAAACAGATTAAGTTTTCATAAACATAATTTAGGCCCGTTGTTAGAAATAAAATATTTGGGAAAGCACTAGAAAATCAGTTGATAGTAATTATGTTTTGAGAAGTGCATTGTTTTGTTTTGTTTTGTTTTATATAGACTGATGTCAATGAGATAACTATTGAAAGTAAAGAACAATTTTAAACAGTTTTAAAACCACAGACTAGGAAAATAAAATTACTGTATTTTGATTCATTTTGTCAGAAATTTATATCCTAACAACAGCTGTTACCCTTTATGCTATCACCAAATAATAACTGTTATAAAAGTAAAAATTTAGTTTTTTTAGGTTACTCAAAAATAACTAAAAATCTTTCCCCAAAATAATTGCTTCTATTATAAAGTAGAAATAAATTTATGTTGTAAAAAAAGACTATCCATTTGTATACAGCAAAACACTGAAATAAATGGTGCTTTGTCTACAACCTTTCTGCAGCTAATTCAGCAAGCCTTTGATTTGTTAAGCAAAACAGGAAATTAAATCATTTTAGAACTGATATCAAACAAGAGATAATCGCCAATTCACTTGACCTCGCTTTAATATAAAATACTTCTAAGCAGAATAATAAAAGTTATTACTAAAAATGATTCACCTATTTATATTGTTCTGCTTGTTCTTGTAAATTATTAGGCAAACAATTTACTTGCAATCTTTTTTAGAAGAAAAAGCTATGTATGGCATATTTACTAATTCTAATTTATTAAAACAGTAAAAGAACCTGAAAATTTATAAAAAAAAAAAATCACAGCAAAAGCCATTCATAAAAGGAAGCAAAAATTCTCATCAAGCATGAAAGGTAAAACTATTTGGTCATTATTTTAAAATTAGTTTCATGTGAGATGATTTCTATTGTAAACATTATTAATCCATTAGCAGATAGAGATTCTACCTTTTCATTGATACTAATACAAAGCACTAGAAAATGTATTTAGACATATTTAGAATTTTTATTTTAAAAAATTAAGTTAATTCTCCAAAGCTGTGAAAATGATTAGATGCTTTTCTATTTTTAAGCTAGACAGACTGTTAGGTTTTCTTGCTACTTAAAAAGGCATCACCTTTACCATTAAAATAGAGATGTGTTAAATAAGCATCTAGATAAAACCAAGTGACTTGCCTCTAATGCAAATCATCAAGAGGCAGGCTAGAAAAGGAAGAACTTCTGGGTTTCTTTGTTTTGGGACACATAGTTAGTTAGAAATGTTAAAGGAAATACCTATAAACAAACAAAATGGTGCAGCCCTGCCACAAGGATGACATGCAATGGAAACAATCTCTGATATTGATTAATGTGGTAACAAAATACTACATAAAAACCTGATTTTTATGTAGTAAAAATCTGATTATTAACTTTATAGGTCATATATATTTCTGAAGCCCAGTTCCCCTGCCATCTATCTGCTTCTGGGTGACTCTCGCACATCTTCATTTTTTTGTACACTCAGGGAAGACACTATAAATTCATCTTAATTTTGACATTTCCTAAGAAACAAAATTAAAATGTACCTTACATAGAAAAAAAAAAAAACTAAGATCTGTATGTTGTACGACACTGTCTCCCCTCCTCTGCCATTAAAGAAAAAAAAGAAAAAAAGATCCAACTACAGTCATTGACACTGATCAAAACTTTAATCAGGTAAGTAAAATGGAATATAATTTTTAAATTGCTCTTATAGGATAATCCTAGCTATTATTAACATTTCTAATAAAAGGAAAAATGGGAGAGTTCACAGCCTATGATGTATAGAATAAGATACTCAATATTTCAAGCTCGTGCTGCCTGCAATTTGGAGCTACTTTAAAAGACGATTAAATAGAGGCGCCTGGCTGGCTCGGGGGAGCCAGAGGAGGAGGAGGAGCATGCAGCTCTTCATCTTGGGGTCATGAATTCAAGTCCCACGTTAGGTGTAGAGATTACTTAAGCTTTAAAAAACAACTTTTTAAGATAATTAAATAATAAAAAAGACAAACTTTAGAAAGCACTGAGCTGACAACTATACTATATTCTACAAAATTCAGAAACTGACCACAAAGCCAAAATATAAGACTGTTTTTTAAAAAACAAAATTTCTTGGCTCATTAAGAAAAATAATACACCACTTTATATCTATCCCAAAGTGAAATAATAAGGACTTTAGACCAAAATACTAAATTCATAAACAATTAGATATTATTGACACTGAAATACCTATGAGAGCTTCCAGATAACAAAGCATGGAGGGTAAAGGAAAAAATATATAAAAAAATAACTTAAGTGTCTTTTACCATGTTTAATCATGAGTCCTAGAACTGCACTTGAAACCAAGAATAAAATGTAAAACTTCTAAATCTGTAAAAGATTTCTCACTAAAACTATAAAAATGATAGATTTACGCACATATTCATATATGTGCAAAATAGGTGAACATTTAACAAAATTAAAAGCTTCAGCATGTGGGCACCTGGGTGGCTCAGTTGGTTAAGCGACTGCCTTCGGCTCAGGTCATGATCCTGGAGTCCCAGGATCGAGTCCCACATCGGGCTCCCTGCTCAGCGGGGGGTCTGCTTCTCCCTCTGACCCTCTTCCCTCTCATGCTCTCTGTCTCTCATTCTCTCTCTCAAATAAATAAAATCTTTAAAAAAAAAAAAAAGCTTCAGTATGTATGCTACTATCTTTCAAATTCAATTTAATTTTTCCCAAGGAAAAAGACCAAAATGTTAAAACAAAAAAGCTCTAGGAATTGACAATTTTTATTTTCAATAAAACTAATATGATTGTTACCAAAGGCGTTAATTCCTAGTTACTGTTTAAAATTTCTGAAAAGTGTTTACTGGCTTATTTTCCTTAAAAAAAAAAAAAAAGATACAAAGGCATTTGTATCTATACAATTCTATATCTCTGGGGAACTATAAATATATCAAATGTTCTTTTCATTTTCAATTAAAACAAATAGAGGCTATTGGCAATGAAAAGATAATTCCATTCCTGAAATGAAATGTGTGTATTTTATTCCCAATTTAAAACATGAGACATTATATCCATTGCAAGTAATCCAACTGAAATGCAGGTTAATTATGAGCTTTCTCGTGCCAAAGAGGAAATTGGAGTAAGGCAGGAATGAGGGGAAGGAAGCCATTTGGTACCTGATATGATCGGGCTTTTTCCTGTCATGTGAAAAAATGGGGCAGGATTAAAACATAAAGGAAAGGTGGTAAAAGAATGAAAACGCAAATGTGCAAAATAAGCAAAGGACTAGCATGATATGAAAATAAAGCAAGAATTAAAGAAACAAGCTTAAGCTCAAACCTAACAAAATAGTTAAAAATATCTGTTGCATTTTGTTCTCAAATTTATACATGTATGCATTTATACAATTCTCTTAGGAATCTGAAATGCTAGTATTTCAGAAATATTCAAAAATTTTTTTCAATTATTATGGTATAAAAAGTTCTGGTAGGACTTAGCACACTTGGGCATACCTCTACTATTATTTTTCTGCCTCTATGGTGATAGCTATAAAATATAGTACTTCTCCTCTTAATAAGTTGCTCCTAAAAAATTAAGGGAAATAATCACTAAAGATATATCTTCATAAACCTGAAACAAAGGAAAACTTTCCATAAGGAAAACAGGATCACTAATTAAGAATTTCAAAGATTATAAAATATCATTAGGCAAATAAACCTACCTCCCACCTGCTCTCCCCCTTTTCATCAATGACAGCAGACACTCAAAGGCCACACATAAGTGGAGTATCTTTAATCTATGCATACACATCTTATTTTAAACAAAAAGCCAATAAAAATAAAATTTATATCTCTGCTAGCAACATATATAATACTTTAAGAAACTGTATAATACATTTTATGCTTTTAGCTATATTTTCTAGTTCAACAGACTGACCATAGCATGTAATAATTCAGTTTCTTAATTCATTTTACCAGCTTACTATTAAATAATCTTAGTATTTAATTATTTTCCTTGTTCATCTTTCTGAATGTATCATAAAAAGCAAAAGAGACATATAGGTACGAATAATCCATCTGGCACTGATTCGAGTCTGAGGGTAAGCTGCCACACTGAGAAATGGCCTGATATGGAAAGATAATTTTGGTAGATCTCACCTTTTCAGAAAAATACGTATTATAGACATATAAAAATGCTGAGACACTACAAACTAGAAATCTGAAACCGAGAAGCAAATTCAACAATTCACATAAGACATAAAGTGTCTCACTCCTTACACTCTTTCAATCACATCACACAACATATAATCTCTTCCGTAAAATTTCAAATTAGAGAATGATGCTTAGATTTTATGAAGCACCGGGACAGGTTTTAAAACTACCTGGGAATTCTTAGTCAAATACACATTTCCCTCAGGAAGTAAGTCTTTTTTAAAAGTTGGCTTAAATGGGTGATGGGGATTAAGGAGGGCACTTGTGATGAGCCCCAGGTGTTCTATGTAAGTGTTGCATAACTAAATTCTACACCTGAAACTATTATTATGCTGTATGTTAACTGGAATTGAAATAAAAATGAATAAATAAATAAATGTTCGTTCTGAAAATATTACACGCCACTATTCCATAAAACTATAGATAATGGCAAATTTGTCATGATTGGTACCTTACAGTGACTACAAGGAAAAGTGTTCCCTAAAACTAATCTACAGACAATCTAAAGAAGATACGTAAACAGTAAGCAGAAAAATCTTTATGCTTGAAACTGGAATCCTAGATTTAAAGTTGAGGTACAAATATCACAGTCTTTTATTTGAAGTCTAATCGAATATATGAAATCAAGCTGGATAGAGAACTAATTAGAGAAGGACAGACTCTACAGTCATAACAGGTAAAGGGAAGGTAACTGCCAAGTACTTCCTGAGATTAGATTTTTTATAAACTTCATATAAGAAATTTAAGATACATTCCAAATTTTTAAATTGAAAAGCAGAAAAAAATTCTAAATAACATTTAATAGATTCTTCTTCTCCCTTTCACTGTTACTGACCTATAACCTAGAAAATATCTAAAACTTTTGTTATAAGGTTTTGACTTGTTTTCTATGAAGATACTTTTATACAATGCTTATATGCTATGTTCCTTAGAAGTCTGCTTTTTACTGGTATTTTCATGAAAACACTCTTTTTAAAGGCATATGAAAATGAAATAATCTGCTATCCATAATTTTTCTAGTAATGTAAATAGACTAGGAAATTTGAATAGTTCCTAAGCTATTTTTAAAAGATTTGACATATTCTATTTTATCAAAACACAAATTTATAGGAAATTTCCATAGCACGTTAAAAAAAAAATAACAGGTTTTAGGCCTCAGTCTTGTCACAGACCAGCTGTGTGACCTTCAAAGAGCAACCATCTCTCTGCACCTTCATTTCTTTTACTAAAAATTAGGATGTTGAAATACGATCCATGATTCTAATCAATAACTATCACCCCACTACAATTAGATGGCATCTCCCTTAAAGAGCAGCCTCATTTCCAAAGGCATTGTCTTTTCCACTTTACAAATGGAAGGTAACATGGGCGCCTGGGTGGCTCAGTCGGTTAAGCATCTGCCTTCAGCTCAGGTCTTGATCCCAGGGTCTTGGGCTTGAGCCCTGCTGCATTGGGCTCCCTGCTCAGCGGACAGCCTGCTTCTCTCTCTCCCTTTGCTGCTCCCCCTGCTTGTGTGCTCTCTCTCTCTCCCTGTGTCAAATAAATAAATCTTTTAAAAAAAGGAAGGTAACATGTCTACAACTGAGAATAGTTATTCCCTACTTGCTTTTAGTTACATTTTATTATCTATGTCAATAGAATTCATGAAACAATAAAAATGAAAGGTCCATGCTTAAATCAGAATTAAATTTCTCCTATTGCCTTAAATGGCAATGCGATTTTCCACTAACACTTACTGTGCTTCATTTTGAAGTCTGAGATCATTTCTCATTGGAGTAGTCCATGGAAGATCATTTCATTTCTTCTTAACATAATGGTATAGTTTCTATGGATTTATTGTATTTTCACTGTGTTAAACTTTAAGTAGGTTGTTTTGAAATCTGAAGGTTAAAATTCAATTCTAACATTACGTCATGAAACTGTACTGGTTGAGAAATCTTTATTTTTAATTATAAAAATGTGACACACTATTTTTTAATTTCCTATTCTGGCTATGAAAATTTGCCAGGAAAAACTTAAGATTATTGTCTTAACTTAAACAGCTTAGAAAACAGAATCTTAATTTTTCATTTTCACTTTACATTAGTTAGAAACACTATTTCTACCCAGACCACCTTAGTTGGTCCTTCTGTATTCATACATTATTTTAGAAGTTCTACATAATTCAAAGAGGCTTTAATATTAAATATAATCACTTTCTAATTTATATTCATCCTCAGGTAAGGAAAAATTACTTCAAATAAAAAAACACCTCATAGATTTAAATATCTGGCAATATCAAATGCTAGGGAAATGCTCAATAAATCACTGACATTTGAAAATACCAGTGAATATTTTTTCCATATAACCTCATCACCAAGATATCAAAATAAGTGCACTAGGAATCCATTTTAATACATTAAATATTCAAGCATTAGTTTCCATTTAAATTAACAAGAATGTATACTAAATTAAATTTACCAAGAAAATTTTATTTATTTTGCTAATGTCCATTTTTTTAAAAAAGAAAACAATCTTCTCTATCATTAAGTGAATTCATGTCCTGTTCATGTAGCAAATAAAACACATTCAACCAATAATGTAAATCAATTCACCAGAACCCAATGTTACTCTCAATTATTACTAAATTGTTCTGACTACTTTTTTGTTCTTTTTGCAAAAACAGAGGCATTCTTGAATAAAAGACGAATCACTACTTTTTGGAAGGATGATCCTGAGTCAACACAATCTTTTTTTTTTTTATGTTTTAATGTCTGAAATTATTTCACTTTATTATATTAATACAAAGGAAAACAAAATATTTTATATATTTATATAACAGACATTTACATGATTAATATTTTATAAAACCAGTTTAACAACAACAAAAAGTAACATTTTTGTAGCCATCAAGTTTAGAATAAAGGAGCACCAACTGCCACACACACTTCACATATAAAAACAATCTCATTTCCTAAAAGTCCTGGTTAAAGTTATTGCAAAGTTCAAAAGATCAGTAAAAATTCGTAAGCAAACACTAAATTAAAATGTACATAAACATCACACAGAGAAGGAACCCAAAGGAAAAAAAAATTCTTGCTTCCTGGTTTATACTTTGCTTAAATTTTATAGTTTAGAATTAGTGCTATCATTTTTCACTTGCTTCTTAGGATCCCCTTTCCTAGAAGGGCAACTTATCTTCAATGGACTGGGTTCAAGAAAGTTATTATGGACGGTGAATTTAAAGAATTATGAAAGAAAGAAAGAGCTGCCAAATCACAGGGAAGGTCAGAAAACAATGTCCCAAGATCAAGACTAGTATTTGAAATATATTACCTGTTCCAAGTTTTGAAGGCATTGCTGGCTCGTTTGAACAGATATCCTTCCATAACAATGCCATTTGCAGCATCTACATTATATTCTAACTTAGAGTCATCACTGGAGAAATCCTAAACGAAATAAAAAAGTTTGTACGATTTGATTAAGTCCTTTACACAACAAATTTATCATAGTGAAACAGCTCAAACCACAGAAAAGCTTTGTATTAAAACAGTTATATTAACAATAGTCATTAGAAAAGGAGAGACCTAAATGTTGAATAATAGAAGAATGCTTCAACATATAAAGGTATTTCAATTCAATGGCCTGTTATGCAATAATTATTATAATGACAATATTAAAACACAGATGATTATATAGAATAATACTCTGAAAAACAATACAAATTATATACACAGTGATTAAAGGCACAAAATATTATGTGTACAAATAGACAAAAGGAACAACTAAATATAATGCATGTTATGTTTAAAATGTTTTCATTTTATCCTCATATTGTATTGTGATGTGTGTGATATCAATTTAAAAAAAGGAATATAGATATATTTAAACTGGGATTACTTAAATCTACCACTATTCTCTAAGTATATTACTATTATGGTAGTTTTTTAATATGATAGAAGTACTAACTCCACTATTGGGGAGTTCAGAAATAGAATAAAGGCATTTTTTTCCTAAAATAAAATTTTATTTTGCAAACAATCACATTTTGAAGTGGGCACACTGAGCTCACTTTTTTATAAGGATTATGGAATGCCTCATAATCTTCTATCATTCTAGACATTTTAGTCTTTGCATGAATTCAATTCAAACTTTCAATTTTCCTCTAAGGATTCATAAAGTTTTGAAATCAGAAAACTTATATTTTAAATACTTCCTGAGGGGGCGCCTGGCTGGCTCAGTGGGTAGAGCATGCAACTCTTGACTCAGGGTACTGAGTTCAAGCCCCACGTGGGATGTAGAGATCATTTAAAAATAAAAAATCTTGGGGCCCCTGGGTGACTCAGTTGATTAAGCGTCTCCCTTCAGCTCAGGTCATGATCCCAGGGTCCTGGGATGGAGCCTCACATTGGGCTCCCCGCTCAGCAGGAAATCTGCTTCTGCTTCTCTCTCTCCCTCTGGGCCTCCCCCACAACTCGTACTCTATCTAATAAATAAATAAAATATTTTAAAAAAATTAAAATAAAAATATTTCTTGATGAACTTACAAAGTAATTTGTATAAAAACTGCAAGACTGCTATTATCCCCAATTTTAAAACTCTAAAAATCAGTCTCAGAACTTTCAAAATTACTTCTGGACCAATAATCAAAGTTAGAATATTATCCTTTTAGGGAATAGCAAACTCTGTCTTGAGAAAGATTTTGGCAGAAGCTACATGACCCTCTGCCAAGAATGCTGGATGTGAGGGTCCTCCCCTAGAGGGGAGGCAGAGTAAGAATCACCTAGGAACCTTCCAAATATAAGCGTCTACAAAGATGGAAAATGGAAACAGAATAAATTCAGAAAAACAAAATTTATTAAAAACCTCTGCTGACATCTCTCAAAATTTAACCATAAAAAATATGCTAATCCAAAATAATCAAATGAAACAGAATTTATAAACAAATTGCTACACTTTCTCCTGCTTTTTCTTTGAAAAAAAATCAGGAAAACTTTAATTCCCTCATTTAAAATTTATTTGAGGCTGTACTGTATTTAATTATGCACACAGGATTATGTCAGCAATTGACATAATTGAGTTTGGCAACATTCTAAAGGTTTCATTTATAACACTGGCAGTTTTTAATGACGCTGATGCTACTTAAAACATTAAAATATAACCTCCTTGAAGTACAGTGCATTTTAAGTATTTTTCTAATTTTCAGCTATATTTCCTGAGATAGGTTGTCTTCGATTTACTTACTATTAATATCAATTAATATTGTATAATACTTAAAATGTGACAGATTATATGATTTTATAATGAAAGTAATAACACTGTATAAAATATATAATACTATAATTTAAATATATTGATGAGCTGACAAATTAGGAAGAAATACTCAAAGGCAAAAGATTAAGTGAAAGTAAGGCTTGAAGAGGTAAGCTGATGAAGGAACCCAGATTTCACCTTAAGGGCATTTGCCTCATCAGAATTTGAAGCTTTGGTGTGAGGCCCAAAGAAGAGAAGGCAAGACTAACACTGACCAATAAAGAAGTTATTTTTGAAATTGCAACCAAGACAAGAAGGACCATTATCACTTCAAGATTATGTTAGAAGTCCTAGCCAACAAAATAAAAAAGAAGTAGGTAAAGAATCGGAAAGGAAGAAACTATTATTATTAGCAGATGATATGACTTTGTACAAGAACATCCAAAAGAATCCAGAGATAAATTAGCATTAAAGAGAGCTTAACAAGAAAACAGGTTTCAAAGTCAATAGAAAAATCAATTTTATTCTAATATGTAATAAAAGTAAACAGCGAGAAAAGAAAATTTTAAGACATTTACAATAATATTTGCAATATAAGTATCTAGGAATAAATTTAACAAAAGATGTAGAAGAAAATATCAAGCTTATAAAGGACACTAAAGAAAACTTAAAATATTTCAAGCTCATAGAAGACATTATAAAATAAAAATATCAATCCTTCCCCATATTGATTCATAGATCCAATGAAATCAATCAAAATCCCAAAAGCTATTTTTATGCAACTTGAAAGTCTGTCCCTGAAATTTATATAAGAACACAAAATTTATGCAATTCACTTTTGAAGCAGAGAACATAAGAGACTTGGCTTTGTCAGATATCAAGATATACTATAAAGCTAAAATAATTAAAGCAGCATAGTATTGGCACAATTAAGACAAAAAGGCCAATGAAAAGAATTGAAAACCTGAAACAGACTTCACATGTATGCAAACATGATGTAAATCAGAAGATATAATAGAGTAGTAGGGAAAGAACACATTTTTTAGTAACTGATTCTGGATCATCTAGATACCAGTATAAGAATACAAGGAAATTGGATCTCTACCTCACACCATACACAATCACCCAATTACAGATGGATTTAAGGTCTAAACATAAAAGGCAAATCTATAAACACTTAGAAGATTATACAGGAGATATATCTTTATGATCCTGGGACAAGAAGGACTTACTAAACAAGACACAAAAAGTACCAAACATAAAAACCTTAAAAAAAATAAAAAACTATGTGAAAATTAAAAACACATATATCCCCCCCAAAAAGGCTTATATCCAGATGATATGAAGAATCTGATCAACAGTTAGGCAACCTGTTGGAAAAATGGAAGAAAAACTAACAGACATTTCACAAACAGGATATCCAAATGACCAATAGGCACAGGGGAAGGTACTTGAGTTCATTAGTAACTAAAGCATAAATTAAAACCACAACGAGATGTATCTACCCACCAAAATTAGCAAAAATTAAAAATTCTCACAATACCATGGGGTGGCAAGGAGCACTGAGAACTCACACACAGTGCTGCCTGTCAGGAATGGTAACATCATTTTGGAAAAGTAATTTAGCATTTATCTACTAATACTGAACATATAATATACCCTCTGAACCAGCAGTTTTACTCCTAGGTATAAATATATCAGGAATATGTACACATATCCAAAAGGCATGTACATGAATGTGCATAGCATCATTGTTTCTTTAATTGATCAATTTCAATTCTTGAAAAATGTAAATAATTACATTAGGTACATTAGACATACTTTCCCTTAATTTTTACGTGATTGAATAGTTTTCTTGTTCTTTTTTTTTTTTTTTTTTTTACCTGTAATGCAGCCTTGTGTCAGCATTTAAGGGCAAAAAAAAAAGCAAAATAGCATTACTTTCTTTAAAAGTACAGCAGTAATTGACTATTATTTAAAATCGAGTAAATTAATCTTAGATTCAATAATCTACTACTTTTGGCCCTTCAGTACAACACTGAGCTGTGTATACAACAGGGAAAGATATTAAAAGATACATAATATTCATTAAATAATTCAGTTTAAGCCAACAGTCACAAGTATCTACAAATATCATGATCTCTCATTTTAATTAGAAATGACTGGTCCCAATTTTTAACAATCTCTCCATGGTAATGTCATTAACACAAATTACCCAACCAAAAGTGAGTCTAACTTTAAACAAAACAAAACAGGAAGTTAGTCTTACCTAACTATAACTGGAAGTAACTAAGTTAAAGATGATCCAGGAGAAAATCTTTCCCTTTATAAATAATGTTTCTCTTTGAATATTAATAACCCATCACCAATAAAATTTTCCTTACTTGTATTACTGACTTCACTTTAATGTTTTTCTACTGACATCTTTTATGTCAGATCTAGTTCACTGGTATTTTAAATTCTAAATAAACCGTAACAAAAGTTGATCTGACTGGTCAATACCAAAGGAACAGATTCCTTAAAGCAATGCCAGAAGGCATCCTTTTTTTTTTAAGGTGACACATGAATAGGGTGCCCCACTACCACAAATTATGCAGTCAAGTTTCCCACATTGGGGAAATTCCAAGGGTCAGCACATTTGGAGTCAATGGATAAGCCTGACCCTGGGAAAAACACTTTTGTGATCATGCTATCTCCCTTGCCAGGTAAGTACAGAAGGCATCTTGTCACATGTATTATTAGATTGAACCTCCAGTTCTCTCCTTTTATTTTCAGATTACCACACAAAAATATCACTGACTATGTAAGACAAAATATTGTTAGGTTGAGTTCCAAGTTAGTTGTATTCAAAGCTCTCCACACACAAAAATAAAAATGTGTCATATTTAAATTTCCATTTTAAAAATATCTTTTTCAAATAGTTTAGCTAAGCTTAGGCAAATTAACAAGTAATGCACATGAAATTCCAGTATCACATGAGAGAGGGCAAGGGCTGCCTCAGAGTAACTACAGCTGCTAAGTCCACAATACCAAACACACATTGATGCCAAGATGTTCTCCACTACCCTCTCTGCCTACCCCCCACCCCACACGCTACTCTCTCTCACTCACACACTTTACAGGGATTGGTGATATCCTAACTGAAACTGTAAATAGCAGTTTAAATTCTAGGGCCATTTTTTAATTAGTTAAGATCCTATGAGATAGGGGTGCCTCGGTGGCCTAGCTGGTTAAGCGTCTGCCTTCGGCTCAAGTCATGATCTCGGAGTCCTGGGATGAAGTCCTGCTCAGCAGGGAGACTGCGTCTCCCTGTCCCTCTGTTCCTCCTCCCAGCTCGTGCTCTCTCTCTCTCTCTCAAATAAATAAATAATCTTTAAAAAAAAAAAATCCTTTGAGTTCTTGGAAAGTGGTTCAAAAACATGGCTTTCAAATACTGCCTGACCATCTAAAAAATATTTTACTTTTCACAAAAAAAAGGAGGAATTTTCTACCCAATTAAATTACTACAGCAACTTAAAGGATTTGTTCGAACACAATGATATCTTGCTGAAACCAATAATCAAACAATTGTATAAAATGGGAATTACTCTCCTGTAACTTTTCTTATCAAGTACCTTTTGTTGAATGGTGGAATGTTTTTGCTCCATCTCTCTTTTCTCCTTTGCTGCATCCACAACCAGTCGATCCAGCTATAAAGGGGGAAAAGGGAAAACATTAGGCAGACTTAAAAATTAAAGAAAAAAAGGTATGATCATTTTTTTAAAAACATACTCTCAATAAGTAAGCCAATTTAAGTTTACTTAAAAAGGCATTTTGGCTATAACTTTAAAATGGAAGTTCTCTCTGGTATCAAATCCTTTTTAAGAAAGTCTATAACTCCCCCAGGAAAAACATTTCTAAGAACAGTTGTAGTACCAAGCAAACATGACAGGAGGCCTTGTCAAAGGCACAACAGTGATAAAACGAACTCCCGGAATAAGCAAGAGAACTCTAGTTTAAGTTGCCTGCTGACCCCTGCAATTCCAGTAGCAGAATCAAAGACAGAAAGAAGATACCCTGGTGACTTTTTCCCCAAAAAGCAAAAAGTAGCAGCTATGCTAGTGTGGGGCCAGCTCTCATAAGTTCAAAAGAACAGACACTTTCAATCACTCAAAATGCTTCATGTTTTCAAGTTGGCTTCTTAATGTTATCATCAAATCTAAAAGGCAAAAAAACAAACAAACAAACAAAAAAAGGTCACCAGATAAGAGAGAAAGCTAAATAATAAAATTTTTTAAAAAGGAATAATAAAATAGTAACCATTCATAAGGCCAGGGTATAAAATTGACATTGTTTAAGGTTCTGTTTTAAAAGCTCAAAAAACTTATGAAATCATAAATTTCATTTCTTTCTTGTTCCTTTCCATCAGAAAAGATGATTTTCCAGTATTATGATAAATGCCCTGGCTTCCTGAACTACTCTTTGCTGGAATAACAAACAATTGGGTTATAAATTATGTGAGTCTACTCTTCGAGACTGTGATGTATGTCATTTCATCTTTGAACGCCCACACCTCTAACTGATTAATGTGGGATAAATAAAAAATAAAAATGTAAACATCAATAGGAATAAGGAGAAAGATAAAGTATTAAATGAACAAATGTTTTCATTGCTATCAAAACAAAATTTTAAAAAGCCTTCATAAAAAAACCATTTGGTCCTTTATTCACTATTACAAATGATGTTTTTTTTCCCTATCAGAGAATAATTTTGGCGACAGAATTTTTTTTTTTTTAGTTAAAAAAATTCTTTTTTAGGGACACCTAGGTGGCTCAGTCAGTTAAACATCTGCCTTCAGCTCAGGTCCTGGGATTGAGTCCCCCATCGGGCTCCCTGTTCAGCGGGGAGTCTGCTTCTCCCTCTCCTGCTCCCCCTGCTTGTGCTCTCTCTTTCTCATTCTGTCAAGTAAATAAGTAAAATCTTTTTTAAAAAAATTTTTTTAAGTTTTTATTTAAATCCCAGATAGTTAACACATAGTGTAATATTAGTTCCAGGTGTACAACTGGCCATAGAATCTTAATTATCACTGAATATTAATAAAGAACCAAAAGAAAACACACTGAAACAGAATTATCACTACTATAAATAGTTGATTTAGATGGCAACTATACTACTACACTTGAGGATCTAATGCATACATGCATTAGTGACATGTAACATTGATTTAATGGGTAATGCTGGTACATGCTGCACTCGGAAAATGTCCTCAATATTTTCTTATACTGAATGAGTGAAATAACCATTATACCATGATTTTATATCCTTTAATTGAATGGCATATAAATTTTATCCATTCAGATTGAAGTGAGGTATAAGGCAGACCCTAAGATTCAACTAATATTTATAAACTTGTGTGCAGGTACCTTCCACACTAGTACTGCAATGCAAGTGATGGTTTTCTGCCTGTCCCATCGGTAGTAATTCCTCAGCTACATCCCACCTCACTGCTATTACAGCAGAAAGCGTGAAAACTCACCTCTCTCTGCTGGGGCAGAAGTATAAAAAAAAAAAATGTCTCCACATGGTAGAGGGTTGGGGAAGGTATGAGTTGAGGAGATGTGAAGACTGACAGTCTTGTCTCCTACAAGCTGGGATGATATCAGGAAGACAAGAGTCTGGAGCACAGCAGAATGTGTCCCATGCTTCTCTTAGTCTTGGACATGAGGAGTTTTACAGCTACCTATAACCAGTCAGGTGCCCCCAATCCTCTGTGTTTGGAATCCCCTCTACTCCTACCACATCAGACATCATCACTTCTCTTTCAGCTTTCCAACTTCTCCCATTTCCATCTGCTTGTATATTTGTGCAAATCCTACTACCTTAAAAAAAAAACCTTCCTCCAACTCATATCCTCTCCAGCCACCATCTTCCCCCTCTCTTTCCATCATAAAACAACTTCTGGAAAAATCTTCCCTCTTCTTCACTTGCCTATTTCATATTCATCTACCCATTATAGTTTAGCTTCTACCACTCAGACCCTCTACTCTCACAAAGGTAACATATAATCTTCTTGCTGCTAAACCCAATAGGTAGTTCTCAGTCCTGGGTTTACTGGACCTTCTTTCCAATACTTGTACTGGTAACTACCCTCTCCTTTTTGAGACATTCTTTCTTTGGCCTGCACTAACACCATCGCCCAGTTTTCACCTCCTCTCTCAACTATGCTTTAATGGAGATCCTCATACCTAACCATTTCTTAAAAATATGTCATTCTTATTTTTCATTTTTTGAGGAACCTCAACACTGTTTTCCAAAGTGGCTGTACCAACTTGCATTCCCACCAACAGTGTAAAAGGGTTCCCCTTTCTCCACAACATCTCCAACTTTCGTTGTTTCTTGCCTTGTCGATTTTTGCCATTCTAACTGGTGTAAGGTGGTATCTCAATAGAGCTACCCTATGACCCAGCAATTGCACTACTGGGTATTTACCCCAAAGACACAGATGTAGTGAAAAGAAGGGCCATATGCACCCCAATGTTCATGGCAGCAATGTCCGCAATAGCCAAACTTTGGAAAGAGCCAAGATGCCCTTCAACAGATGAATGGATAAAGAAGATGTGGTCCCTATATACAATGGACTATTACTCAGCCATCAGAAAGGATGAACACCCAACTTTTACATCAACATGGATGGGACTGGAGGAGATTATGCTAAGTGAAATAAGTCAAGCAGAGAAAGTCAATTATCATACGGTTTCACTTATTTGTGGAACATAAGGAATAGCATGGAGGACATTAGGAGAAGGAAGGGAAAAATGAAGGTGGGGAAATCAGAGGGGGTGACGAACCATGAGAGACTATGGACTCTGAGAAACAAACTGAGGGTTTTAGAGGGGAGGAGGGTGGAGGGAAGGGTTAGCCCAGTGATGGGAATTACGGAGGGCATGTATTGCATGGAGCACTGGGTGTTATTCGAAAACAATGAATCATGGAACACTACATCAAAAACTAATGATGTACTGTATGGTGACTAACATAATTAAAACAAAATTAAATTTAAGAAAAATGTCATTCTTAGGGCCCTGTTTGAAGCCAGATTCTCTTTTTACTCTATACTAGTGGCCCTTGACCTTAATTTACAAAATCAAAATCTTTAAGCATACTGTTCTAGCACTCACATTTTTCAAAATAGCTTTCAAAACACAAAAATGATTTTGGGATCCCTATTAACTCTCCTTGGGTCAATTCACCCACTCTTGTGGTTACAATTAGCAATTATATGTTATTGACTCCTTTAACCTAGTTTTTTTGTTTTTGTTTTGTTTTGTTTTTTGAGCTCCAGATACACCCACTTAGATGTCCTATCATCAAAATTTAACACATTTTTTAAAAGATTTTATTTATTTGACAGAGAGAGAGATAGCAAGGGCAGGAACACAAGGAGGGGGAGTGGGAGAGGGAGAAGAAGGCTTCCCACCAAGCAGGGAGCCCGATGTGGGGCGCGATCCCAGGACCCTGGGTTCATGACCTGAGCCGAAGGCAGACGCTTAACCAACTGAGCCACCCAGGCGCCCCAAAATTTAACACATTTAAACCTCAACTCATCATGTCCCTCTACCTTCAAATTGGCTATGTCTTAAATATCCCTCAAGTCTACTTGTTTCTAGCCCTACTGCCATGTTCCTAGTTCCAGATCCAGTTATCTCATAACTGAATTATTCAAAGAATATCTGAACTGGCCGCCTCCAATCAGGCTATATTTTCCATGAGCTTAGAGGCTTTTCAAGGACTTGAAAAATTATGTGAGAACTGAGAGGGGGAAACTGCAAAACCAAAATTAATAAATGTCTAAAGTATACAATTATTTAAACTACTCAACTGTAATCCAACTCATTTGTTTATAAATTATATTTAATGTAAGATGAGGGTGCAACATAATGCTTGACAGAATGTGGGGAGTGCCTAGAGCCTAAGAAGGTCTTGCCTTCCTCCCAAGTCTGGGTTACAGGTTCTATCTGTATGTTCCTGTAACTCTTTGATCCTCTGCTATGTGGTAGAGACAGCCAGTTATTCCCCAATATCCACTCTCTCTATCTTAACTAAAGAACCCCCAAATTCTAGTAGGTCACATGATTATCTGGCATTAAGTTTTTATCTCCCAGCTTTCCTTGCAGCCTGTATGACACTGGGATGTACACAGAAGTGACTCTACAATTTCTAGGAGACATCCATAAAGAGAATGCATCTTTCTTTGCTCTTTCCTCTTTCCTAATAGCTAGAATGTGGGTTTGGTAACTTTGAACCATGAGGTAGAATTAAAAAATATAAGACTGCATCCCTGCATACCAGACCTTTTGACTTACATAGGGAAATAAAATTTCATCTTGTTGAAGCTACTATTTTAAGGTTTCTACCTATCCCATGCAAATGAGCAAGTTCTCAATTTATATACCCAGACACAACACTGAGCACAAAGAGTAATTGTCTGGTGACTTGCTGGTTTCCTCCAATAGATTAAATTCTATAGAGCCTGGGAACAGTATCTCTGCAACTCATGGCATATGCCCTGCACACCATCCCAAGACACACACGTACACACATACGTGTATGCACCATATTTACTTTTGGTCAATGAATGCAATTCTTGTTACACTCTTACCTTTTTCCTCATTTCCCTAAACTCTATTTTTCATCCTTAATCCCCTGTCCTCAAAAGGTAATATGAACCTATATGGGGGGAAAAAATCACCTAAAAATTGATACTATTAAATCCAGAAGGCTCACCAATCAACAAAAAAAAATGTCCCAGAACAAATCTAATACAAAGTTCTGCTCGGTTATCAAAAATAATTTGAAGGTAATGAAATTTCTATATAATACTGTGATATATGTATAATCCACACATGTGCATATGTGTATAAAATAAAAAAGTTCCCAAGACTTCCATAATCTTAAGATTCTAAAATTTTATTAGTCAAAATATAAAGAGTATAGCTCAAATAAAAAATCAGTAGGATTTTTCAATTATCCAAATGTAAGAAATGAAAAAATAAATCCAGCTATGTATACTATAAAACAGACACTTTGTTTTTAAGTTTTCCTTTCAACACCCTCACATGCTGTCTATAACATATTTTTAACTTCAATCTTCTTTTTGGTTACACATTTAATCCATACATAAATCTTGTGCAGCATCAAACTTCTTCATTAAATAAATGAAACGTCAAATTTCCCAATATGCTAATTTTTTTCCCAATATGCTAAACTTCTTTAAAAGTACAGATACCAGAGCAAAGGCAACAAAAGCAAAAATAAACAAGTGGGACTACATCAAACCAAAAAGCTCCTGCAAAATATTTGCAAATCATGTATCAGATATAAATGTCCAAGGTACTTAAAGAAGTCATACAACTCAATAGCAAAAAAAAAAAAAAAAAAAAAACCAAAAACACTTTGTATTAAAAATGCGCAGAGGATCTGAAGATACATTTCTCCAAAGAAGACAAACAGATGGCCAAAAGGTATATGAAAAGGTCCTCAACATCACTAATCATCAGGAAAAGGCAAATCAAAACCACAATGAGATATATCACCTTACGCCTGTCAAAACGGCTGTCATCAAAAAGACAAGAAATCACAAGTGTTGGTGAGGATGTGGAGAAAAGTGCACTAGTGGTAGGAATATAAACTGGTGCATCCACTATGGAAAACAGTATGGAGGCTCCTCAAAAAATTAAAAACAGAACTACCATATGTTCCAGCAATGCCCCTTCTACATATGTTCAATGTACACAAAGATACTAATTTGAAAAAATATCTACATCACCATGTTCACTGCAGCATTATTTATAATAGCCAAGATACAGAAACAACCTAAGTGTCTGTCAAAAGATGAATAGATAAGAAAATGTGGTGTATATATACACATGGGACTATTATTCAGCCATTTAAAAAAAAAAGGGGGAAATCTTGCCATTTGCAACATAGATGGACCTTGAAGGCATTACGCTAGGTGAAATAAACAGGCAGAAAAAGACAAATACCATAGGATTTCACTTATATGTGGAATCAAAAAAAAAAACAAAACCAAACCAAACTCACAGATACAGAGAACAGACTGGAATTTGCCAGAGGTGGGGGATGAGTGGACAAAATGGGTGAAGGGGGTCAGAGGTACAAATTTCCAGTTATAAAATAAAGAAGACCTGGGAATGTAATATACAACATGGTGACTATAGTTAACCCTACTGTATCATATATTTGAAAGTTACTAAACAGTAGATCTTAAAAGTTCTGAAGATAAGGAAAAAAATGTTTAAGTCTATGGAGTAATAGTTTACTAGACTTTTGAGGTAGTCATTTGACTATAACTATGTGTGTATTAATACACACATATATCTCAATTATTTTATACACCTAAATTAATGCAATATTATATGTCAATCACATCTCAATGAAAAAAATACAGATATCAATGCATAACACAGAGTCAAGCAATACAGTACAATATTACCTGTGCACCAAGATCCTTCATGTAGGGCCCAAGTTCACTAAATAGATCATACCCTTGATGGAAGAAGGCCAAATGGGCATACATAAAAGATAACATCTAGTAAGAGAAAAAAGTTTAGCATTTTAAAATCAATTCTTAAATATCCTGAAATTTTTAAAAATCTTAATCTTATGTTTAAAAATTATTCCTTAGAACTGAGTCATTTTTCTTAAAAGAGTATTTCAGAAATATTTGTGAAGTGAGAATAAATTATATTTAAAAGAAATCTCTAAGTGGTTTAAAATTTTAAAAACACCCCAAATTTTAGTTGTTTAGATTATATCCAGACGATCAAAATTCACATGGTAATAATTGAAAGAATCAAGTTTTCAATACTTTCACCATCTTCCCAGGTACATTATAAAATACCATATTATATGCCTTTCAACCAAACTCACTGGCAAAACTTTAAATTGCAAATAAAACATTAGAAAATTAGAAGAGGAAATATGAAGCTCTCAAAATAAAACAATCACACTTTATAACCAACTAGGATCACTAAACACAGTCCAAAGTAGGGGAATGCTTATTTTCTTTCTCAAGATACTGAAATAAAATGAGTCAACAGACTTTGCCAATATGGAGGTTTCTGTATATGCATTCCCAATATCCAAAAATGTTGCTAATAGGTTAAGATTTTTTCCAGGTTTTCCTACATTTTACCTATTCATGAGAGAAAAATCACCCTTATTTTTATTTGTCATTTTTATATGGGAAGAAATTTAATTCAATCATAATAGTGAAAGAATCCTCCAAACATCCATGTTTATTTGTAGCAAGATGAGACATCTGTTTAATTTTCTGAAATTTAAAATAGGTCCTTAATATTCAAGAATGCTTCAAAAGAAAATTTTTTGAAGAGAAAAACCAATTAAGCACAAACACAAAAGCACAAAGCTCAATAAAAGATTATTCTGGAATTAGATTAACAGTAGTTATGCAACTTTATGAGTGTAATAAAAAAACAATTATATAAAAAAGAGGGTGAAAGATTAACAGCTACAACTACATAAAAATGTAAAACATGCCTGCACATCAAAACATATAATAAACATATTAAAAGATAAATGATAAACTAGGAAAACACATATGACAAAGGGTTAATAGTCTTAAAATATAAAAGATGTTACAAATCAGTATGAAAAAGATGAATACTTAACAAAAAAACAGGGAACACAGAGGCCAAAAAATATACAGAAAAAAATTCAAACTCATGCATATTTAATACAAACTCATTTGTATTAAAGAAATGCAAAACTGAACAATGACATGACATTTTCTATCTACAAAATTATATGTAGAGTAGGAGAAATTAATACCCAGTGTTGGTAATATAGTTCACTTTCACATACTACTAGTGGAAATGATGTATAACTCTTAAAATTTACCATCATTTTTTAAAAGTTTTAATAAATGCTTAAACCCTTTGACTAAGTAGTCTCGTCTTAATCTATCCTAAGGAAATAATCATATTATTTATTAGAATGATCACTATAATGCTATTCTTTAAAGTCAAAAAACATGGAAATTACTTAAAAATCCATTAACGGATAAAACTAATTTAGGGCATAGTCAATTGACCTGCAAACTATATCTAGCCCTATCATCTGTTTTTGGATGGCTTATGAGCTAGGGTTTTTACATTTTTAAATGTTTGAAAGACAATGAAAAGAAGACATGAAATTCATGACATGTGAAAACTATATGAAATTCAAATTTCCATGTCCATGAGAAAAATTCTTATTAACACACAATCATGCTATTCATTTACATATTGTCTATAGCTGCTTTCTCATTACAACATCAGTTAAGTAATTACAACACAGACCACACGGCCCACAAAACCTAACATATTCACTACCTGGCCCTTCACAAAAAAAGGTTGCCTACCGCTAGTATATTCACATGGTAGAATTCTGTATGGCCAGGAAAGCCACTGTTAAATAAAAAATACTCAATAACATGTGATGATTTTGTAGTTACTATCAAAAGAACAAAGTTATAAAACATATGTAACAATGACTCCTATTTTGTTTAAAAACATTAATGCAATTTTAAAACACACATACACATTCACATACATACATGCCCACAGAAAGAGAGGAAAAAAGATGAAGATATATGCCAAGATATTAATAGTAGTTCTCCCTTGGTAGTAAGATTTATAAGTGTTTAAATTTTTTTCTTCATCCATTTTACTTTCCAATTTTCTACAATTAACACATATTACTCTCAATCTGGAAAAGGAAGTAGAGGTAAAGAGCAAATACAATGTACTTTCCTGATAAGAAATAACATAAATATAGAATTTAGGGAATAGCTAGGTGGGGACAAGAATCAAAAGCAATTTAGGCATACCCTTTTGGGGGAAAAAAACAAAACACTTCAGTGAACAGAGAGGAAAAATTATTTCTAAGGTTCTCAAAATGTGAAAGAGTGCAATGTCATACCAGTACCATCCCATGTCCACTTCTTTGTTAGCTTTAAGATTTTAAAAAATGGTCAAATAAAAAAATGGCCATAGAGGCTCAGGGAAAACCATTATCCTCAAATTTCACCCCATTTATTTTCAAACAGCACTCTAAAGAACAAACCAAAAGGCTGATAAAATCATCAATAACCCGGGAGGAAAAATTCTCTAAATGATACTATTTATGCATGCCCTCAATCTCACATATTTAAATGTCAATATTAAGGAGCTCACAGTGGGTTAATAGAGGAGATACACATAAATAACTGTAACATGAAGGAGACAAAAAAGTGGTTAAGTGACATAGGAGAAGTATGAAAAGATCTGTAAGATTAATTCTGAACCTGGAATAAACATATTTACATATATATATACACACACATAAATATACACATATATGATGCTGCTTTAAACGCTTATATATGTACACTTAGATCATATTAAAATGTTGAAAACATCATTTCAATAAATATCTTACTGATTTTAGGATTTCTGATCTCCTTTTTGATTGAAGGACATTAATCTGAGGGAAAATACACTTGGTTAATTACCCATGCATTTATTTTAAAAACTAATCTACAATGCAATATTGTAAAATTTGCTTTTTCTGATAGTTTGATACTTTTCCAGAAAAGTAAATAAAATCAAAGTTCAAGTTTTTCACCCTTTGACTCACGTTTTGCAAAAACAGTTAAGACAAACATACCAACGAAACTCTCATCTATTTTCAACTCAAAAACTGGCCATGCATAAGTCATAAATACTGTAGTGATAAAACTATCACTCTGATAGACATATCAATTTCTTAGAATTCCATCTTTTCCCCATCCTCCTTATCTAATTGCTCATCTAGACCCTTCAACATGTATCCTTAATGCAAATTCTCATCAATTTTTGCCACTACTACCAAACACCATCTTATCTTTTCTAGACTGTTGCAATAGCGTAGGAACTAGTCTCTCTGTACTCTTGACTCTCTACAATCCATTCTCCACACAGCAAACAGAGTGATCTTTTCAAAATATAAATAAGATTATACTATGTCCAACTTAAAACCTTCCAACTTCCTCCTGTAGCCTTCATGGCCCTCTGTGATATCACCTCTCTAACCTAGTTTTCTATTACTTTCCCCTTTCTGTGCTCCAACCACAATCCAAAACTACTCCCACCTCAACACTTTCAAACTAGTTGTTCTGTCTTCATGTCATAACTGTCTACCCAGATAGGCATAAGGCTACCTGTTCCAATCAGGTCCCAGCTAAAATACTACCTCCTCAAAAAGGTCTAAGTAGGCCCTATGTACTCTCTAGTACAACAACCCTATTTATCTCCTTGCTAACATTCATAACTACCTTATATTTTCTTATTTACTTATGTCTTTTCCCTGGTTAAAGTGTGAGCTCCATAAGATCAAGGTCTTGCCTTATTCCCAGCTGCATTCCCCAAGTGGTACATAATGAGGACTCAATAAATATTTGTTAACTAAATTAACAGACCTCAAATAATATTTTAATTAAACTAAACTTACTGAAAGATCAGTAAATTATGAAAGTTGCCTTTGTGGTATCTCTCCCAACTCTGGAAATTCTTAACAAATATTTTTTTTTGTCTATTATATATCAGCTTAATGAAATGAATGTTTATACAAAAAAAGAATCATTCACTTTTTGCTAATATTGTCAAAAGATTATAGAATATCTTCCTTTTTGATATGTTCTTCCCAATGAATATTCTGCCTGTTTTATAAGATAATTTTAAAGCACTGATCAGAAAACTAAAAACACACCAAGAAAAGTCCAAATAACTATGCTTAATGAGCACTAATTTCCTTTTTATGTCTGTTTCAAGGCCTATTCAGTTTTGAGAACTAAAATATTAACTTTCAAATGCTCTAAGTAAAAGCAGAGGCTGCAGATAACCTATTATTCAGACTTTGAAAAATGCCAAAAGTGTTTCTGTTTTATGTATTTTTTTATGTTGGGCAATGAAAATAGCATGTACTTGGAAAAAAAAAGTAAATTCAAATATTTACAGAAGCCAAAGCATGACAAACTTTATAAACTTGGATATTTATTACTTACTACACCCTAAAATAGCCACTTTAGCCATATAATAAAATGACACAAGAGTTCTCATCAGAAAAATCAAATAAGGTAATAGTTACAGGGGACATGGGGATCCTAACTTAAAACTACTGGATGAGCACTAAATGAAATGGAAAATTTATTTTCCAACCACTAGAGGGAAAGAATATAACCTAGGAGTAGAAAAGAGATATAAATACATAATTATAATAAATGTGATTAAGTGCTCTAACAGCAATGTGTATGACAATATTATGACAGCACAGAAGAGGCAGGGGCAAGGATGATTCACTTTGTCTGGAGAAACTTGTATAACTGACCCCAGAACAGAGAACAAAGTGGTAACAGGACAGGGACGAGCAATGCAAGAAGACTAATTTTTTGAGAGCATCTTAATACTCTAGATAAGAAACAATAAAGACTGGTGTTAGGGCTGCAGCAGGGGTAAGAAAGAGCAGACTTAAGAGGTACACAGACCTTTTTTTTTTTTTTTTAAGAGTGAGAGAGTGTGCACCAGCGGGGGGGTAGGGGAGTGGGTCACAGAAGGAGAGGAAGAGAGAGAATCCCAAGCAAGCACTACGCCCAGTGCGGGGTCTGACTCAGGGCTTGATCTCACGACTCTGAGATCATGACCTCAGCCCAAATCAAGAGTCAGATGCTCAACCAACTGAGCCACCCAGGCGCCCCAATACACAGAACTTTTTAAGGCAGTTTTGATTGTTAGAGCAGCTGAGAATGAGAATATCTGATGTAATTCTCCATGTGACTTTCTAGGATTGAGTAAGAGGGTGTTGGCATTCAGTTAGATAAGGGTAAAAAGAAGCCATTTGGAAGAAGGCAGTTTTCAGTTGTGGATCAAAAAGAAAGAGGGATGTCTAAGAAAAATAGATTTTGTCATCTATACATGATGGTAATTCTAGCAAGGGGCATGAGCCTTTCAGGGAAATTAAAAGGTCAGAAAAGAATAGGACCAAGAGGGAACCCTGAAAAAGGTTTTTCAACCGAAAAGACGGACAAAGGAGAGAAGCCCAACATGGACACTGAAAAGAAATACAAGTTAACAGAAGTTTAAGAAACAGAAGCTAAATAGAAGTTAATGCAACCCAAAAGTGGTTTGAGATAAATCAAAACAAAAGTATATTTCAAGAAAGAGAGTGCGGTCCACCATTTCAGTGAAACACAATAGTCAAGTTGGTTAAGAATTAAACTGTATCTAACGAGTAAGACCTTAGCATGAGCTGTCAGTGGAATGGGATAGGAAGACAGAATTCATCCTACCGCAGGAAGTGGAGTAAATGGAAGAGAGCTAATGGGAGAAAGGAAATACAGAGCATTCCATTCCAGAAGATTCTAGTTAATAAATGGAATGCACTTCACTGAGGTTTATCTGAGGCGCGATTATTGCTAATTGAAAACTTTAACTTCCCACTTACTGAATAGAAACTTAAAAAAAACTTAGTCATTTTCTACTGTTTTGCTAAGTTTTCTAAGTTTTTAATCACTAATTTGTATATGGTTACTTACTATTTTTTTAAAGAAATAATCTGTGATTGCTAGTTAACAATCTCTGGGGACTCCACTGCTGTTTTGTAAAAGGAGATTCAGACAAACTAATTTCCTGAGCTTTAAAGCTTTCAACTCATGATATATAGGAACACATCAAGTACATGTGAAATAATGTACACTTTGCCTTCACTTTTCATGTCTCTCGAATCCCTCTGGAGACCTATCACATTCAAACTGATTTCAATTATACATAGGACCACAAGATCACCAGGCAACTTATCAAATACTGATCTCTAATTTTAAAAAATAGCATGTAATGCAATTATGAGAACACCACTTCTAGAAATATTTTTCATTTGTCAATATGGTATGCCTTAATACCTCTAAGAATCTACTCTAAAGAAATAATCAGAAATGTGGCAAAAGATTTATATACAAAGATGTTATTATCATTTACAATTATTGAAAACTATATTTTCACTATTGCCAGTAAAAACTGGCAACAATATGTCTGATAAGCAGTATTAATTAAATTAACCTAGCAACTCCACAGAATAAAATAAAGCGATTAAAATGCTTTTTACAACATTTAAAAATGGGAGAAAGTATCATGTTAAGTGAAAAGGGGAAGAAATCAGAACCAAAGGTATACACATGTACACACATATATTTATGTGCATACACAGATATACAGACAAGTGAAAAGTCTTCACAAAAGATCGTGGCTTAATTTTAGACTCAAAGAAACAGCATTAGTTCTTCTCAGTGTAATCACTCAAAAGTAATGACATGTTTAGTAAGCATTTTTTGAAAGCATATAATAAATATACCTGAAGTACATAGTCGAGGGCTATATGTCGAAAACATTTTCTTGTTGCTGTCAGAATGTTCGTGGCTTCTTCAACTTCGTGCTGTTTGTTTCTTTGTACTTGAGCATTTTTTACTAATGCATTTTCTTTTTCTTCACTGACTTTTTCAAATTGCTTCTTGGCATCTTTGAATTTTCTAAGATCTCTAAAAAATAAAAACAGGAAAACTTCCATAAATCCTACTGTGGGTGATCTACAAACCACACTTTAAGAAATATCACTCGTTTCTTGTTGAGGGAAATTACTGGGCCAAAGGGCATGAACATATTCTTAAAACACACATACATACAATCTTTGATAAAAAAACTGCATACCCATAAAGGGTAATGGTTTCCATTTCAGTATTCTGAAACCCTTGATTCATTAATGATCTTAGATAAGTACTTTTTTCTACCAGAGAACCAGGCAAAATGACTTGAAAACAAATGATTTTAAAATAATAAAGTAGACCCAAGAAAGACTTTAAAGTCATTGTAAGAAGCCATAAATTTTCATGCATACATTCTATAAGGACATTCTGAACATTAGTCTATTATTTGGAAAGAATCTGTGAGATATCACCAACAGGACAATAAATTCTAACCTACTAAACAGCAGTGCACTATATTCATGAGATGTGCTACTTTTTACAGCTTATAACTTCTATAATAATCCTGAATACTGTATCATAACCAACTTTATCTGTAATTTTATGTATTCTCAGTCAGGAATTAAAAGAGAAAAACTGAATTATTAATGTGGGAAAGGAAAATATTCCTATCTGGAAAGTTCAGATGTTTTTATTTCTAGTTCAATTTTATTTCACATATAAAATGGGATGAATGTGACACAAAAGGATCACATGTAGCAAAAAAAACATGCACTTTTATGATTCATTCTCATATATTCCATTATATTCTCTTCAAAGAAAAAACCATATTGAGACAATGGAAAACTTAGTCTCCACTATAATAACTAATAGTATTTCAACCACTTTTGGGATCTGCTTTGATTTTGAAAGGTCATTAAATTATTTTATTTTTTAATCTATAACAATCCTAGTTATAAATCCTGAATACAAATTTCATAGTATAAATGATTCACTGAAAGACATGAAGTCTGATTCCCTTATGGAGTAATTCAAGAGGAAATGCAATATACACTTCACAAAGCAACAAAACAAAAACTCCAATATTTTCAATAAATCACAGTTCATAAAATTCCTCTCAAAAGATAACCAACTCCCAGATGTGATCATGAACTTGTTGCTTTTCTTTTCTCTTCACTGCACTTGACTTACTCTTTAACAAAGTTCTGAAGCTGTGCTTTAATTGATCTCTGAGTTTGGTCAAATAGGATCTAAAAGATAAAATGAAACATTACACAATTAGAAAAGTAAACAAAAAATAATTTTCATGTAGGTTGATAAATAACACATCCTTCCACCAGTACTCCAATTCTAATAACACCTATATTTCTTATTGAAGACTACATAAAAAATAAGCATTTAAAAAAGAAACTGAAACTGATTTTCAAGCGAATTTCATCTGTCTAAAAAATAAAAATTATTTCTAATTACAAGGAAAATCAAATTTGCATTACTATCTAAATAGAATGTTAAAACAATAAAGCAATTTATTTCCTTCATTTTAATTCAAGCTTTGAAAAACAACCTGAAAGAGTAACACAAATTCCACTTCATTTACTACGGGAATTTCTTACTTTAACATATCAAAACACTTCAAGTAAAAACAACTCCAGAACTGCCTTATATCTTAGTTAGAGGTTACTCATTTGGCAAGACCTACGGATTTAGATGTTTTACATTCTTAATTTCAGTAAACATTATATAGTCCTTTAGGTTCAATGACTGCTAAGACTAGAGACAAGAATAAAGTTTTATTCCTCGTGACAATATTTTGCCCCACTTAAATAATGCCACATGTTAAACTTTAGTAGCTCTATGTGTGGGAAATTTCACTGGGCTTGTCATGGAAATTCTGAGTATTTTGATAATTTACAGATACTCTACATTCAGAGATGAACAGGCACAAAAATCAATATTCAAAACAAAAAAAAATCCTGTACCCTTCTCATTAAAAACAGTACCAATTTCACTCTCTCTGAAATCTTGCTACTAGCAAAGTCTCATGTTCTTGCCTAAACACTAAACACCAACACCACACACACCCACACACACACCACACCTGAACTGAGTACTACAGGATTTAAAAATATGACAATTTACATCCAGAGAGAAAGAACTGTTTTCTGTAATATGTTAAACCCGAAGTAGTAAATCCAAATTAAGCAGAAGAGAGGAAATAATAAAGATGATCGGAAGTCAGCTAAACAGAAAACAATATCAGTAACCCAAACTCAACAAAAACATAAGCCAGTTCTTTCAGAAGATCTATAAAGTTGATGAACCTCCTGCCAAAGAAAAAATTTTAAAAACACGAACTTCAGGGGCAACTGGGTGGCTCAGTCAGTTAAGCATCCGACTCTTGATTTTGGCTCAGGTCAAGGTCTCAGGGTTGTGAGATCAAGCCTCACACTGGGCTCCACACTGGGTTTGGAGGCTGCTTGAGATTCTCTCTCTCCCTCTCCCCCTGTCCCTACCCCCAGCTCTAAAAAAACAAAAAAACTTCGAATACCAAGAAGGAGAGAGATGACAACACCACAGACTCTACAAATATTAAAAGGAATAACCAGGGGAACTGGGGAATAATTTTATGCCTATAAATTTAACAGACAAGATGGGTTAATTCTTTGAAAGACAAAAACTACCAAAGCTCACTCAATAAGAAATCAATAACCTAAACAGAATTAAAGAAATAGAATCTATTAAAAACCTCCATGTCCTATAAAGTTCAAAGCTATACTTACATAAAACTTAGCAATCCCACTCCTAGGAACTAGCCCACGAAAAAAGAAAACTTAGATTTACACCAAAATCTGTACGCAAACATTTATAGCAATTCCGTTCCTAAAAGCCAAAAACTGGAAACAATCCAAATGTCCTTAAAGAAATAAACTATGGTACATCCATGCAATGGAATACTACTCAGCAATAAAAAGGAACAACTACTAATACATACAACATAGATGAATCCCAATGGATTTAGCTAAGTAAAATAAGTCATACTCAAACGGCTACAAACTATATGATTTATATGACATTCAGGAAAAGATAAAACTATAGGGATGAAGAATAAATCAGAAATTTCTAGTGGTCGGGGGTAGAAGGTACTAACAACGGAGTAAAATAAGGGTATTTTTAGGGTTATTGGAACTGTCATGCATCTAGATTGTGGTATGGAGATCCAACCATATGTGTTTGTCAAAATTCATAAAGCTAATTAATAGTATTTATCACAGAATTAGAACAAATAATCCTAAAATTTGTATGGAACTACAAAAGACCACAAAGATTCAAAGCAATCTTGCAAAAAAACAAAACTGGAGGCATCACAAGCCCAGACTTCAAACTCTACTGCAAAGCTATAGTGATCAAACAGTATGGTACTAGCACAAAAACATACACAGAGAACAATGGAACAGAATAAAGAGCCCAGAAACAAACTCATATTCAATTAATCTATAATAATGGAGGCAAGAATATACAGCAGAGAAAACACAATCTCTTCAGTACATACTGTTGGGAAAACTGGACTGATACATGCAAAAGAATGAAACTGGACCATTTTCGTATATCATACACAAAAATAAACTCAAAATAGATTAAAGACCTAAATGTGACATCCGAAACCATAAATATGCTGGCCTTAGTATTTTTCTGAATCTATCTCCCCAGGCAAGGGAAATAAAGGAAAAATAAACAATTGTGACTACATCAAATTTAAAAGTTTTGCACAGTGAAGGAAACCATCAATAAAATGAAAAGGTAACATACTGAATGGGAGAAGATATTTGCAAATGATATACCTAATAAGGGGTTAATACCCAAAATACATAAAGAACTCATACACAGGGCACCTGGGTGGCTTAGATGGTTAAGCATCTGCCTTTGGCACAGGTCATAATCTCAGGGTTCTGGGATCAAGCCCTGCATCAGGCTCCTCACTCAGTGGGGAGTCTACTTTTCCCTTTCTCTCTCCCTCTGTGACCTCCCTTGCTCTTGCTCTTGCTCTCTCTCAAATAAATAAATAAAATCTTGAGGGGCAGAGCAAGATGGCGGAGGAGTAGGAGACCTGGGTTTCGTCTGCTCTCAGGAATTCAGCTGGATAGGGATCAAACCATTCTGAACACCTCCAAACTCAACAGGAGATCGAAGAGAAGAATAGCAACAACTCTCTGAACAGAAATGCGACCACTTTCTGGAAGGTAGGACGTGCGGAGAAGTGAATCCGAGGCGATATTCGGGAGGACAGACGGCGGGGAAGGGGGCCTCCGCTGGCCGCTTCTGGCAAGTGATAGAGCCGCGGAGCACAAAATCTGAACTTTTAGAAGCCGGCTCCGCTGAGGGACGTCACTCCAGTGGCTAACCGGGGGGTGGAACCCTCGCAGGACAGTGTGGTCTCAGGACCCACGGGGTCACAGAAAGACCGGGGGTGCCTGAGTGCAGCAGAGCTCCCAGGTATCAGAGTGGGGAAGCCGGTTGCAGACACGGAGCCGAGCCGCGGGCTCTCAGCTCGGGGTTGCCATAAACTGTGATCCGCGGCCCAGTCGGGCCACTGCTCCTCCAGCAGGGACCCAACAAGTAGCAGGGCTGGGGAGATGCCCCTTTCTCCCCAGGGAGGAGCGGCGCGGGAGCGCACCACAGGGATCTGCTGGGTTTGGAGACTCCACACGGGGTCGGGTGCCAGAGATAGAAACGCTCGGTCACAGGCCGGGTGAGCACGGAATGCGGCCGGAGACTGGGGACACGGGAGTGACTGCTTTTCTCTGGGGGCGCACTGAGGAGCGGGGTCCCGAGTTCTCGGCTCCTCCGGGTGGAGATTGGGAGGCCACCATTTTCACCCTGGTCCTCCAAAGCTGTACCCAGAGCTTGCAGGGAACAAAAGCTCCTGAGAGCAAACCCGAGCAGCTTCCTTAGGCCGGACAGACAAGGGCTGGGCAATTCCGCCTCCGGGAAAGACATTTGGGAACCACGGCAACAGGCCCCTCCCCCAGAAGATCAGCACCAACAGCCAGCAAGCCAAGACCAAGTTTACCAACCAAGGAGAATGGGAGAACTCCAGCGCTAGGGGAATACTGCACATAGAATTCATGGCTTTTTTTACCATGATTCATTAGTTTTTCAAAGT